GAGTGAAGTTAGGAGTGTCTTCAATATAAAGAGAAGGTTGTTTGACGTCGAGAAAAGCTAGAAATGGAACCCAGCTCTTTACTATAGTAGAACCAAGTCTTATCTGTTAAGCACGTTGTGTATCAAAGATCTGACCTTCTATACATTTTGTATTTTTTATCATTACTATTTACATGTATATATTATATTGAATGGTGAAAGGGTCTGTTTCCTCTTTTCCACATGACCTACATAACCGCTTCAATCAAGATTCCCACAAAGAGAATATCTTAAAAAATAGTTAAGATTACGGATGGTGACCAGCCACTCACCCCAACCCTTAAAGGTCAGGAAATGTCAAGTTTAGGTATCCTTACAACTCTTAACTCCCCATCTCCCATCATTCACCACTTTTACTGTCAGATTCCCCCTCCTGTAAAGAAGTCACATCTCTAATCATTAACAGTAAAACAATGTACACACCACATTCCTCATGATCACAAAAAACGTTAACTCATATTCAGCAACATTAACACATCTTTAAACACTCATATGCTGGTAAGTTAATGTATGATGTGATGGTTTCTTGTTAGAAAATATAAGGTTGCAATCAAGGTTTCACAGCATAGAGTGAATCCATTAGGAGTGTGGCGTTGTGTAGTATTCAGATCGTATAAATTTTTACCTATGTGTTGGAGGTTTGTGAGACCTATAGAAGGGTGGGCAGCATCTGTCAGTGAAAGTGGTGCATGTAGGAATTAAGGTATGTTAAAGGAGATTCCATCACTGGACCCTTTTTATCTTAACTTTTTTAATGAAGACTTTTCTTTGTGGAAAGAAATGCATGTACATATTTTGGAGTGTCTTAACATCTGTAGACTTGTCCACTAAACTAACTATTTAACATATTGGGCTATACTCACTTCATACTATTACATTTATATATTTAATGGCTATATGGCACTTCATAGTAATGTCCCACTTCAGCTGGTTTACACATCTGCAGTAGTATCCTTCATTGCACACCTCGTTAAGCAATAAGGCACAAGCATGAAGGAAACACATCTGGTATATCTTTAAAAACTGCTGAATGTATTCAAATGATCCAGAATGATACAACCAGGCTCAGTCACTGTAAGGTGAACTTCCTCAACATTATTCTGATCTTGGGGTCAGTTTTTGTCTTTTTTCAAGACTTTTAAAAGAAAAAAAACCCCATTATTTCAGTAAGTAAGTGAATATAATTCCATTGTTTATAATCTTATAATTTCTGGCATGAGTAGAAGATTGGAACCATGTTACACCATGTGCTGTAGCGGGGACAGATATGTAGCTAGTCCTTTGCCTGCTGCTATATTAGTCCATACCAGACTTTTTAAAGATAAAGCTGCAGATGGCATCAGCAGGACCTAGTGACTGGAGTAGGAGACTGGAAGCCAGAAGACCTGGGTTCTATTCTTGATTCTGTCATTAAGCTACTGTGACCTTCAGCAGATCGTTTAACCTGTGGACCTTAGTTCCCCCACCTGTAAAATGAGGACACCACCACTTCATATAGGTGAGGAGTTGTCTGAAAGGTGCAATACCAGAGACTATTATTTCTGCTTGATGGTAGATATTTCTATATTCTTGACCAGCTAAAATGGGGCTAAACAATAACTTAAAATTGTTGTAATTGAAGTCTAACTGATCTTTGGCGAAGCTGAAACGTGACAAATTTGACGCCCTGTATGCTAAAGAACACTGCTTAGTCAAGTGCCTGTATTGCTCTGAAGTGATTTTCATTGTCAAAATTGCAGTACAAACAACTCCAAGCAGAGAGAGCTGTGAGCATTGACTGCTCTGTTCTCAAAACTGGTATGTGGTTCAGCCGATGAGTCCCTAGTACTGAACTCAGAGTGGAGAATATTCTGAAGGGAAAGAATATTCCAAAGAAAACAGAATGGTGAATATGCGTCAGAAGGATAGTGGACAACATAAGGTTCTCAGCAGGTTTTGTCTTAACTGGATTTGAATGGGCTACTAAGCTGAACCAACAGTCTTACAAGGGCTTAACTATGACCCTGGAATCTGAAGGGAGAATGAGACCTAGTTCCACATTAACACAGCGTCTGGGCTCTCGAACAGTATGACTGGAGATTTTTTTGGTAGGAGCTGACTCAAGTTCCTATTGTAAGTATATTTTGGACTGCTGAGGAGAACAGTATATTTGTAAGTAATGGTGTCAGAAGTTTTGGACATTTGATATTTGTCTTGATAGATTCTGGGAGCTGTTTAAAGTTCTGAGGTACTTTAGAGTAATTTTTACGATGATAGAAAGCTGTAAGAAAGCAACAGGATGACCCTATTTAGAGAGCATTAGCACTTTACTTTCACGTCATCTATTTTCCACTTCTTTACTGGTGGATTTGAATCTCTTTGCTTGTTGAGTTGCCTTCACTATACCATCTCATCGCTTATTGGCAGGGGACTTTGCAATTAGCTTTATCTTTCCTCCTGGGAAGGGCTACCTATGAGGTTTTTGTTTTTGTTTTTTAAGGCAGATTAAATCCCAATAGAATAATATCTGAAGCTGCTAGCACAGCATTTGTGTTCTTTAGTGGTGAAGGATCAGTTCTAGTTACCAAATTACTTTTTCAAAAATAAATACCAGTTCTGTTCTTTAGATTTTCATACATGCTAAAATAGCCCTTAAAGGGAGAAACAAATATGACAGCAGTTTATTAGCTCAAATTTAACAGCCTTGCTAAATGAAAGATTTGCTATAACATATATAAAAACTATAACAACTAAACACTGTTCTTAAAATAAGTCTTTTAACAAGTGCTCTAATTTAAGAATTTAGCCCAGCAATAATGTCATGTTTATGCTACTGAAGTATTTTTAAAAGGTTAATTTATTGATTTAATCTGCCTATAAAATTGAGCTTATGTTGGCTCTAAACTTCTGACACAGCCATATACCTTGTTCCCCCCCCCCCCCCCGCTAAATGTAAATTTCATTAGAATTGCTACTGTACCTCTGCAATTTTACATTAGTGCCTAGTTACTACCATGTTAAAAGAAACTCAGCTTGGGGGTAACTATGAATTTTTAGGCCAGAACACTAAAGGAAAACGATAGTTTTGTTTAGGAAAATATTTCTATTAAAGACAAAGTATTGTAAACTTAGCAGAAGATATTTAAATGGTTTGAGTAACATCTTGGAACAAAATTGCCTTTTGTGGGAAGTTCATGGTGGTTCAGGGATGGTGTTTTAGCTCTGTCTGTTCTAGATTGTTTACAGACAGTCTCCTCCTAGGATGCAGCAGCCAGAGGCATGTATGCTAGCCAATAACTCAGGATCTATACTAGGAAAACCAGCTATTGCAGAAAATGGCTGTCAGCAGCAGGTTCTCCAACTCATTAAACTGTGTAATTGATACTGTAGACAGAATGAAACTGTGTTAACACTGTTATAGAAAGTGTGAACGAGATCTGAGGTCATTATCCTAGTAGACAACCATTCATTGCTGTTCTAAAACAATTGCCAGAATTTCTTTTGGAGACGAGGGCTTTGTGTTTTCTGAACATTACTACAATTTCTATACACTGATTTTAACAGTATAAGAAGTTATATCTATTGTCATTTTCAAAGTTCAGGAATGCGAAGGTTTGATTTGCTGAAAGAGGTAATGATGTCCTAAAGGGTAGCAATTAAAAGTAAGACCGTGTCCATTGATAATACATGCATAAAATATGCATAATCTATTATGGCCATACAGTAGAGGAACAGAGGAATCAAATTTGTAATCAAATGTATATGACTGGCAAACAATGAACAGCAGCAGCATGGACAATACTAAATATGGAAGATAAAGACAGCTTCTAAAATATCTCATTTGCTTTCCACAAGTTTATTTTCTTTTGACAGTTCTGAAGTAATTTAGTTGAACTCCTAAAGCAGGTATAAGTCATGGTAGCCACAGATTTTTGGGTGAATTTTTTTATGAAACAGTATCTAGAATACATCTCAAAACAGAGAAATGGTGTTACCTAGCTATTTGTATTAAGTGGAACTTGTTTTGTTTAGTCCTCTGTAGTGGCTAGCCCCACCCCAATTATGTACTACATGAAAAGCATTACAGTGGGGCTCTGTGACAAGCGTGAGAACAAATGTAATTGTATAAAACGAAACATTTTAATATATTTCATCTAATTTCTGTAAGTTCATATTTGCTTTTCAGTTACATCACAGGATAAACAGAAAGTATATTCACAGTAGAAATTGCACATAACATTACAAATATCTATTCCAGTACGACTTGAATACCTAGCAAGAGAAAACTAAATGAAGTTCCCCGACAGGTACTTCAGAATAATCTCCAGGGCTTCTCACCCAAATCTGCTGTCCCTTTGGTTTCTTCTGCCTCATGGGGACCTGAACAATCCCAGTTTACTCAGCTATCCAGACAGTATTCCTCACAATCACCAAATTTCAGGAAACTTTATTGTATTATCCTATTCCTGGCTTCTCAGTTTGTTACTCCAGTCTATAAATATTGGAGACATCTTTATCTTTTCTTCGATTAAAAACAAATCTTCCACTGATACTTTACACAGAATTTCACCCCAAGGGAAAAAGGGTTTATCACAATTAGTGTTGTAAAAAATCAGCATTTCGCTCATGGAGTCTGACAGCTTGTGCAAAGTGCAATCAAGAAGATATTTTATGGTAGGAAAAATGCAATAGGACCTGAGGGAAAGGAGAGGAAACAATCCTACACATATTTTATTAGTCATGGGCATAAAGAACGAAACAGTAGATATGAAGGGTTGTGACTGTACCTTGTTCTGAATAGATTTGAGAAATGTGGACCCACTGAAGCTGACTTTACCAGTCATTGTTAAATTCTGGGTTGAATTCTAGCTATGTTGAAAGGACATTCTGCTCCATTAATTTATCAAACTTTTTTTTTTTTTTTTTTTTTAAATTTTTTTTTTTTTTTTTTTTAAATAAATCCTCGTGTGTCTGTATTTCAGATTTCTGATTGTCTCAGAGGTGGCAGTGAAGCCCACCTTTAGCACAGGAAGATGAGTGAACTTGACCAGTTACGCCAGGAGGCTGAGCAACTGAAAAACCAAATCAGAGTATGTATTAAATCAAATCAGTATGTGTATTTAGGTTAACGCAAGTGATATTTATGCCAGTTGTGTCCTTTTAGGAACAGAATGGGAGATGGACAAAAATGACTTGTTTATTAGGCTGAATCTTTCACAATATATTTCAGAAGTTAATGTATGGGATATCTTATAAATGTAAGCACAGGTAACTCCATAGAAAGTTGCTTTTAGCCATTCCAATTTCCAGTAAGCTTTATGATTGAGTCACACAGAATAATATAAGCGTGTATAGATTATATTTAAAAGCATTTCTGTATCTTACACCAGTCCTTAAGGCCAGTATATGTTTCTCTTGAAACTTTAAGCTGTCCAAATCTCTAATGCATCAGGTTTGAGTATCTGATATTTTTATGAAGCTTTCAGATAGATAATATCTTGGTTTAGTATTTTGGATCAGTAGAGTCTAATACTAAACAAATTACAATTCATCGCTCGCCATGAAGTTTACCATGAATAAACTTCACAACCCTCCTCAGAAAGTAGTTTAAAAAGATTGGCTGAAGTACTACATTATATTTTATTTACTGTCTAGATTTTACTTCCTGCTTATGCTCAAAGGTTTACACAAGCATAAAACTAGGGCATCTTGTTTCATTGGTGTTAAGTTATAGATCACAATAAATATACTCTGGTTCTTTCTGACTTGCTGGCACATCTACTCACCATGTATATGCTGAGTGAAATAAAAGAGAAGTGTTTTAATATTTCCAAAAAAGGATTATTGTCAAATGGACATTTTGTAGGTTTCTTTCAAAAGGATTTTATGAAACTTAACATGAACAAAATTGTTCCCAATGTCTTTTAATTCTTTGGAAACAACACTAGTACATATGAAGCGGAAAGAGAAACTGATTATATAAAGTGAGTGAAACTGATCAGTTTAATTTCAGTTTGTGTAAGCTGACAAGTACAAAAAATAAACAGCTTAAACTAGATTTTGTATTCTTTGAGGGTTTTTTTTAACTATTCCAAAGTAGTTGTTGTGATCCAGTGGGCATTGGATTATTGCTCAAAATACATTCTGTCTTTCCAGCTCAGAAGTAAAGTGAGGCATAATAGCCACGTTATAGTACTTACACTAGCAAGACTTAATAGGTGTAGTTGGGGAAGAGACATCACTTCTGCTTCCTGCAGGTTGTGCTTGTCAACAGCTTTTGTCATCGTGGAAGGTGCGTCTTTAAAAACCTTGACAGCTCCCAATTTTTCTTAGGCCCCAAAATAACGGCTCTAATGCCACGCAGGATTCAGACCCAAACCATCAAAAGTAATGAAAAAGTCTGGACCCCAATTCTACCTCATTGAAATAAAATGTAGGTTACTTGACACTGGTGATGTATAGTTTTTCTCCAGACTTCTCTGGTTGTATTTCCTTTTGACCCTCACCATCTCATTTGTTCCACCCAAGCCGCACTACTTATTATTTGCATTGCATCCTCCTTCCACTTCAATCTCCTGCAACCCCTTGCACCTTGATCGCTTTTTTCCTGAGCCAGTATGCTAGGTCTTCACCCTCTCTGAGACCTCTCATGGAAGCACATTGTGGAGATTTATATCCTAGTCTCCTTATGGTTCACAGTGTGCATAGAAAAGTAGTGCTAACAGGACACATGCTGAAGTTTTCCTCTCACTTGCTTTTTGTTGCATTCCATCCCGAACCCTCCCCCTTCTGTCTATAGTGCCCTTGTTAGATTGTAAACTCTCTGTGATAGGGACCATATTCCGCACCTACTTAAACACCTATGTAACTGAGTTCATAATACTGTTATGGCTATGTGTAACTTGCTGCTATTGCATGGCTCTGTGATTTGTTTGTAAACCGAGTAACTTCTTTAAAAAGTGTGAAAAGATTTTTTTAATCACTTATACAGTTAAAAATTAATATAAGAACAGTAAAATGAAACCCCAAACTTCAAGTGATTTTAATACAATTTGAAATGTTATTGGGTTGGTGATTTGTACACCAGTCTTCATGTCTGTGCTATTTGGGATAGCAGGGCTGCTAAATCAGAAAACTGGCATTCATGTGGAAATATACAGACACAAGCACAACTGGTTTTAAGTGGGCTGATATGGTCACTTTTTTTTTTTCCTCCACATTGTAAACTCCTTCCTTTCAGCCCCACACCTCTTTTTAATTTAAAATGAGGGAGCAGCAAAGACAAGTGTCCCAGAGTTGAGAGGGAGAGGATGTGAGTAATTGTAATTCCTGACCTTAATTTCAAGAGTTCACACCAATAAATATCAATGTACATTGAAATTAGATGCCATCAGTACTGTACAATAAACTGCATGGTTGGACCTCACCAATGTAATTCTGCAGTTTGATTTTAAAGCCATCAAAATAAGAGTAGGATTACATTTTTCTTAGATGTAGCACATTTTACTAAGAGTTTAAATGGTATGTCCGGTACTGCAGGGGGATTTCAGGGTTACTTTGTAAAACCATGCTAGAAAACTGAAGAGGAGGTTAGGGTATCTTTCTTGACTAGAATAGAATTCACCCTCTTCAAATGCTGCTAATTATCCCACCAGAGTCAGTATAGTCCTAGGGCTCATAAAATTATTTCTGAAGAGCAAATGTGCTGCCTTTTAATGCACCAGATTTCAACAAGTGTGGGGGTTTTTTTGTTTTGTTTTTTAAAAGTCGTTGGGTTAGAATACATGTCTCCCTCATGTCAAGATTCTCCCCACCCCTGAACACTGATGGCATAGTACAGTATATTTTTTTAGGAACAATGTGTAAACCTTTCCAGTGAGTACACTTAATGAAAGTGTGTTTGCCAGGTGTTGTTGCCTCCCTTCATAGTTATTTTTAACCATTTTTGTAAATGAGAAGAAATTCCAATCTCTGACCCCATCCTAAGTCACACACAGCTATTTTTCGAACTGTGCTCAAGACTTACAACAACATAGAGGGACAGTTTTGTGGAACCTCCTTGTTAAAAGGGCAACAGTGCATCACTGTAAAGTATACAACCTGTATATTGTTAAACTATGCTGTTAAAGAACACAATTTTTGGAAAGGATTTGGGCGCTTTACGTACAATAGTTTTGGCCAAACAACTTTAGATCATAAAGTCTGAGCATCGCTGTTCAAGGGAATAGAAGTCTCTACGCATAATGCATTACATATTCAACAGTTCTTCAATTATGTTGTCAGTGAGAATCCCAGAGTAGGTACTCATGCATGCAAGATTGGATTCTTGGAATAGCAGTGTTGGCAGCTGTGCATATGCCTCTGGCCTCCTCATGCTCTTGCACAAGGGCATAAAGGATGGAGTGGCTGCGACTTTCTCACTTTCCTCTTACTGCTTATGGCAACAAGACAAGTGAGTGTCTGACACCCTATTCTTTTCAGAGATCCTAAGCCAGTTAACTGAAGGATGTTCCTTTTATTTAAAAAAAAAAAAAAAAAAAGCCCCCCCATGACCACACCACGCCCTGCTGAACAGCAGGCAGGGCCGGCTCCAGGCACCAGCCCACCAAGCTTGTGCTTGGGGCGGCACCTGGAGGGGGGGCGGCGCGGCGCTCCAGCCGCCGGGGAGAGCGGAGCCCCCGCCGGGGCTCGCCGCCCTCCTCCCAGGGCTCCGGCCGCCCTCCCTGGGGCGGCAAAAAAGCCAGAGCTGGCCCTGACAGCAGGACAAGACGCTTCACACCAGCTTGCCACATTCCATGGTGGAATCAAACCCGCAGGGTTTGAAACCTGCCCATCCTGTGACAGATGGATCCCATCAAGGAGGGTCACAGCAAATGTCTCTTCTGCCAAGGGGAGAGGCACATCCCGGTCAGGTGCTCTGTGTGGAAGTCCTTTTCCTCCAGCACCTACAAGCTCAGTTCAAGCTACATGTGCTAGAGTGGTTCATGCAGGTTACTGCAGACCCAGCGGTGACAGTCATGACCACGGCAAGACCACACAAACCAGTGTTGGCCAGCACTCCCTCGAGCACACATCACACTCTGGGATTGAACAGTGGAAGGAAGGTGGGTGAAGAGGACTCCAATAGGTGGTGTCAGCAGCATCACTGCTGACCACCTCAACGTCAGTGAAGTCTGCTGCACACCAGACCGTGGCACTGACTACCCCAGGACTGATGGACTCAGCACCTGTACTGACTGCCTCAATGCTGGCACCTCAGGCATTAAAGCAGGTACCTATGCCTGCTCACAAATGGGACACCAACTCATGTAGCTGAACCAAGCTTACACATAGCTCCAAGACCAAAAGGGAGTTCCAGAGAGGGACATGAAACACTCATCTAAGGACAGATCGCCCAAGCAGTCGGGCAGAATGAGAGACCTGGCACCGGTACCTGTGATGGAGGTGAGCAAAGACCTGAGAGATGCCGTGGAGGAATCCATGTCTCTGGAGACGTTCCTGGTATGACAGATGTGAACCTGCTCCATAGCACCTCTTGGTGCTGCCTTTTGAAGAGGAGGTATTCTCCTTCTTGCCATTGCTGACTTATTCCTTCTTGTCTAATGGCATGGATGGCTAGGCCACACTGGAACTGGATGTGAGTACATAGGAGCAGGAAATGACAGGGAGGCAACAATGACCCTGGCTTCCACCCAAGGAATCCTCTTCAGGGCAGTGACACCAGTCCCCATGCAGAAAGCTTTCAAGGACCTCCTGTCTCAAATTGCAGAGACCCTGCACATTGGGACTGCGTTCATATAGGAACAGTCTCATGAGCTATTTAATATTGTGAGCGTGACAACACCAGCCAGGATCACCCTCCCAATTAATGAAGAAATCCTGGAATCGGCCAAAGGACTATGGCAATCTCCAGCCACTCTTACCTCTTCTCCACTTGCTTGAGGGAGGAAGGATCAGCCCCCCCTTCACCCCCTCCCGGGTTTTGAGCACTTCTGAACCCACCTGAAATAGCTCTTTGAGAAAATCATTTATGCAGCAGTCAGAGAACCTTCTCCTAAGACCTCACTATAATCCTCCAGAGGCTCATTGAGTCTCCATTGGAGTCTCTCGCAGAATTTTCCTTATACCAGCACACTCTGAAGACTGTTTGTTTTCCTAGAGGCTATCACTTCAGCCAGAAGAGTGAGTGCACTTCAGGCACTTATGGTCTCATATGATATTCCAGAGGGACAAGGTGGTGCGAAGACCTCACCTGAAGTTCATTCCTAAGGTGGTCTCAGAATTTCATCTAAATCAGTCAACCTTACTGTCGTCTTCCTGAAGCCATGTTTAGCACTGGGAAAAGAGAATTTGCACACGCTAAATGTATCCAGGACTTTGGTTTGTTACATGAATGGGGCAACAGTCTGAACTAGCCTGTCAATCTAGCCATAGCAGGGCATTCTAAAGGTCAGGTGACTTCATCACCAAGAATATCAAAATGGAGGACAGTGTATTTCTCCCACCAAACATCAAGGTTCACTCCTCCAGAACACAAGTAACATGCCCTAACTGTTTCATATACATGCCAATATTGGAAATCTGTAAGACGGCAATGTGGAGTAACCCTGTGACATTTGCCAAACACTATGCCTTGGATTCAGCTGCTATATCGGATGCTACGTTCAGGAGAGAAATAAGTCAATCGCTGCTCAGTTGGTACAGCTAAGACTCCTCAATCTCGCCATCATGAGGGGATGCTGGTTGCAGTTGAATCCACACTGATGCATACTCAAAGAAAGAATGGTTCTTTGAGATGTTATCAGTATGGATTTCATGACTTCCCTTCATCCCCACTTTGCAGAGGTCTCATCTACCATGGGCTTCAAATTGAGAGGGAACTGAGGGAATGTCATGGCTGTTCTATCCTTTGTCTTTGGGACATGCCTGTTCAAAAAATTCTGATCTTGCACACAAAGCATACGCACATCTACAGTAGGTTCCACACTCCCAACATCTAGAAGATCCCCAGTATTGCTGTGGAATAAGTAACTGTTCTTTGCAGGGTGTGATCAATAGAACTTTTCATAAACAGAATTTGAGAGCAGAAAATGAATGAGAAACCTTGTGTTGTACTGGGTAAAAGTTCCCCTTTATTTAGAAAAGTGGAATATATTGTATTGCACCATGAAAATATGCAAGTATCCTGTGATTATAGTATAGACTTCATGGCAGCACAAATATAAACAGACATGGATTTATTAGTATGACAGAGTTCACTTATTTCCCTGTAGTTTTTGTTTAATATTGTCATCAAGTGACTAAGAGCAGAACCGTGGATACGTATTTAAGATTAAATCCTGTTATGATATAATTTAAACATGTCCTTGTGTCTGTGCATGCACGCGCTTTTGAAGAAAGTTCAAATAGAGTAAAGAACCTTCTCAAATTGTTGCCAAATTGCATGGATACAGTTACAGAAATTTAAAGATGGAAAAGATGTACTCGTTTAATTTCCTTGGGGCTGATTTCAGGATTGTTCCTTAGGTTACATTTTCTCATGCTATGTCTGTTCTAGTTTTAAGTCTCCAGAAGTGAGGCTTCCAACCCTTCCCTTGGGCATTCCACAGTCCAATAGCTCTTGCTGACAAGCAGTTCATATTTAGCCAACATTTCTTTTTCTTAATCCCATTACTTAATTGTAATTCCCTGTACCTTCCTACACTTATCTCCATCCAGGGTATTTACACCTTTCAGATAACTGTAGAATATTATGTCCATTCCCTTTTTAGCCAAGCTACACGTAGCCAGTAGTCTTTCTTTATAAATCAATCCCTGGTCAATTTTGTTTGAACTCCTACCAATTTCTCAATATTACTAGTAATGCGGTGCCCAGAACTGAATGCTGTAGTCCAGTATGATTGCGGTAGAGCCATGTAGGAAGAGAACTATGTGACTAATGCTTCTGAATAGACAGCCCAAATTTGCCTGGGCAGCCTTTGCTTCTAATCTAAGTCCTTTGGCTGGTGAATGAAACTTATTCCAGTTTTGTATAACCTGCATATTTAATTCATGTGCTGTTTATTTCCTCTTCCAGATCGTTAATTAAAATGGTAAACGCCACCATTTCTTACTAGTATGTGCTTGGAAGTATTTTCAATGAGAAGCCTAAGCAATCATAAATTTTCACAACATGAATAAAATAGCTGAGTCTCTTTTTGAGCTGACTCCATCCATATAAATGACCATTGTAGAACAACTCACAAGTTATCCAGACTTTTGTGTACATAACTAGCTTAAGAAATTAATGTCATGTCTTCCTGTCTTCATTAATTTTGAACTTCTTTAAACAGAACAAAAGTTTGGCGCCAATAAAGAGACTTCCTGCATTTTTTTTTTTAGTATCTGCTTGTAAAAAAAAAACAAAAAAAACCCCAAAAAAACAAGGTATGGAGCATCAAACAGTAAACTATTTAAAAAGCATTTAAAAGAGAACTGGATAAATTCATGGTGGTTAAGTCCATTAATGGCTATTAGCCAGGATGGGTAAGGAATGGTGTCCCTAGTCTCTGTTTGTCAGAGGATGGAGATGGATGGCAGGAGAGAGATCACTTGATCATTGCCTGTTGGTCCACTCCCTCTGGGGCAGCTGGCATTGGCCACTGTCGGTAGACAGGATACTGGGCTAGATGGACCTTTGGTCTGACCCAGTACGGCCGTTCTTATGTTCTAAAGCATTGACTAAAGTATTTGTTGGCCAGTTGAAGAGCAATGTACTTTCAGGCTATTTTAGTTTGATTTTTTTTTTTATTCTGAAGTGTTTTCTAGCTCTATGTAACACATTGTTTTAGGTTCCTTAAACAGAGTTGGAAATATATATTGTGTATAGCCCCTATGTAAGGCACCTGTTGAGTCCAAGTTCCCCCTGAACTTTGCATTCTGGATCTTGGCCATCCATTATAAGATGCACAGAATGTCAGCAGTAAGTACTCAGGGATAACACACTACACCAGAAATCACATTCTGAAACTTGCTGCTAAGCATTCCTTCCTACCCTTGCCCACTAAATGCTAGAATTATCTTCTCAATAAATAAAGGTTCCAGCAAGAATACTAGACACACATTGGTAACAAAGTCTGGCTTGGTAGGTTCCTCTTCCAATTTCTCTCCTTAGGGTGATCACAACTGCAAGATTTTCCCAAATCTGGTAGTTTTGCTGCCGAGTAACTTTTGTAGAATAGTCAGCATAAATGGTTCAACACATATTAAGCTGTCTCTGATGCGTTGTCTCTAATTTTCCCTTGTTACAGGATGCCAGAAAAGCATGTGCAGATGCCACTCTGGCCCAGGTAAGCACTCGCTTCAGATGCTCACATTTTAATTGCAAAAACGTATATAAGGAAAATGTAAATACACAAAGTTGTGTGCATAAATTATGAACAATATCTTAATTCTTCCGATAGTCTTTTCTTGGCAACATTAGCTTCCTTTCACTCTTTGCATGGTGATTTTTTTTTTTTTTTTTGATTACGCACAGATCCTACTGCTTATGCATGGCCAACTACTGCCAGTAATAGGATCAAGTAGTACTTTCCTGGGTAGGTCACTGAGTTCCTTTCCCTGAATTTTTTTATACAAGTATTATACAGATGGATCTATAATTTGAAGGACCCTCACATTGGAGCAACCTGGAAGGCCATTTATACAGAAGCCTTTGCCAGGAGCTATTGTTCCAGATGTGTTTTGAATCAGATTTTACCTTTCACCACCCAGTTTAATCCCTTTTGCTTGAACTGAGAGTAAATCCTGTGTCTGATGTCAGTTTGTTGCCATGGAAGTGAGTAATACTACAAATGCAGTACTACAACTTCAGCACTGTAGCATCAAGCAAGTGAGAGGCAGTGAGCAAGAGGCCTTCTTTGAGCATTTAAATTACTTAAGAAATTTTTATATGTGGCAAAGAGAGTTGCCCATAAATGTAAAATAAATGGGCTAAGTTTAATATCTAAAATATTTCCCATGTGCAAAAGCCTGTAAAAAGCTACTGTATTTATACTAAGAAGGGCATTGTGTAGGAATTTTAAATCTGGCCCGATCTGTTAGTTTGAACATTAATCTGTTCTAGCAGTTTTCAAAATGAAGCAGAGTTCTTTACTCAAATGCTTTTGCTAAATAATTTTTTTAAGTGGAGACAGGACAAGTATGCAGACATTATCTGTAAAATGGAGTTGTAAACTGTTTTGGATTCACTGTAATGTGTGTTCGTTTATTCAGTATATTACTGGAAATGCGCTATATGCTATATTTTTAGCCAGTGCTTTGCTCGAGGCCAAAGAAACTATTTATATTAAATGTAATAGTATAATGACAGCATATTGATTTCTTCCTCACTTTGCTATTCACTTACTCATTCCAGAATACACTCTTATCCTTTAAAAGTTAGATAAAATATTAATATTATAATTTGAAAATCTTCTGTTCAAAAGGCAGTTTATGCTAGATCTAAATTGGGAGTTTATCTTCAAAATGTGAGGTGCAGTTAAAGCCTCAAATACAAACATGCCACCTTCTCTTTAAAAACAGAAAGCTGTGTTATTCTGTAGAATGCATCTCTATTGTGGGGGGCAGGGGGAACCTTCTGCCACAAGATTGTAGTAATCTTAAAGCTAGAGGCTTCAGAAGATAGAAACTGAATATAATCCTGCCCAGGGTTCTGAGAGTTTCTAATGCATGCAGTTTCCCACTGGGCCTGGATAACATGCATGTTCTTCCAGAGGAATATTGTGCAATTATATTTAGCTAGCGCTTTGCCTTCAATGCTCAGATAAAGAGCTGGGCCTGGGGAAGAATAGTAAATAAGAGAATAACCAAGCAAATACTGCGTAGAACTAACACATTTCTTAGTCAATTTGTTTGTCCAAATCAATGAACATGTTCAAAATGTGTGCATTGCATCCTTTTGGTTTTCTGCAATAGACTACTCTAAGTGTTTCTGCATTAATGAAGTATCTGAATATTCTGTGAGTAAGATAAATGCAGAATCTAAGGTCTATAATAACTTGTCTATTTAGATCACAGCCAACATTGATCCAGTGGGTCGAATTCAGATGCGTACTAGAAGAACATTGAGGGGGCACTTGGCTAAAATTTATGCAATGCACTGGGGGACTGATTCCAGGTGAGTGTCACTGGCACAGAAGGATGATCTTTTGGGTTTCATTAAGCTCTTGTGGAAAAGTTCAATTTGGTTTTTCATATAGGATGATTAGAAATTCAGTCCCATCATTTCAGGTCGTGCCTATAATCCAGCTGAAGTCCTTTCTGCTAGAAATGGAATTTTAAAATACCAGAGCTCTTTTTGAAGAGCCAGGGATCTTGGGTGCAGGTGGGGGTGGTTACTTCATTTGAAGTTTCATAACCTTTGCTTCTATTCTGGTACTAAGAGAATTTAGCAACACTAAAGGTCACTTTTTCATCTCCATATTTTTAGCATTGTAATCTAAATTCAGTCACAAAATATCAACCCCCTTCTTGCCTGAAAATACTTTTGTCAGTGATTTAGAGGAAGCATTTTAAAATAGGCACTTATTTTTTTCGAGGATATTAGTCCTGCTGTGATTTCCAGACAGTTAAAAAATGGATGCTAACAGTATCCCTGTCGATGACAAATGACAACTATAATGTGTATTTTTATAAGAATCTTAAAGCACGCACCCCAGTGAATTGTCCATCTTAAAATGAGTAGATATGGTATTCCCTCATCATAGGAATAGGTGAATTAGCTTCTTTTTAATCTTGTAAATATGTGAATTAATCTGCTCATAGCAAGTACATTTCTAATCAACAGAAATTACTGAAGGGAGCCTAATCTAATGAAGGTGATCTTGTTAATTCAGTCTTAAGTACAGAGCTTGTTTACACAAGATTGATAAGTAGTACTGTTCTTAAGTAACTTAAAATCCTAGGTCTGTTTATACAGTAGAACCTCAGAGTTACAAACACTTTGGGAATGGAGGTTGTTCGTAACTCTCAACAAAACGTTATGGTTGTTCTTTCAAAAGTTTACAACTGAACATTGACTTGATATAGCTTTGAAACTTTACTATGCAGAAGAAAAATGTTGCTTTTAACCATCTTAATTTAAATGAAGCAATAACAGAAACAGTTTCCTTAACTTGTCAAAATCTTTTTTAAATGTTCCCTTTATTTATTTTAGTAGTTTGTTTAATACTGTTCTATACTGTATTTGCTTTTTATTAATTTATTTGCTTATTTTGTGGCTGCTGCTGCCTGACTGCGTAGTTCCAAATGAGGTGTGTGTGGTTGACTGGTCAGTTCCTAACTCTGGTGGTCATAACTCTGAAGTTCTACTGTATACCTAGTGCAAGAGTAGCAAAGTGCTTAGTGTAGTAACATTGGGGGGAGGGGCGGTGTAGAGGAAAATATTTTTAAAGGAGTGGTACTTCTTTTTATTTTCAGTTTCTGAATTGCTCAAGGTTGGCAGAGCAACAAATAAACACAGTGTAACAGTTTCATTTGAAGTTTCATGTTTTGTATAATCTCATTTTATTTCATAGGAGTACTGTATTAGTTTGTCATTTCATTTCCAATGTTGCAAATTGCACTTTATATGGCAAATTAGGGTTGCCAACTTCGTCAAATTTAAAAACCGGACACTCCAGCTGGAGTGCTGGAACCTCCCTGACTCGGGTCAGGAGGGACTCACCTGTGGAGCCAGGGCTGGGAGCTACAGCCACCTGACACAGGTCGGAGACAGCCCCAGCTGAGATGGGGCTAGTGTGGGTGATGACCCAGCGCATCCCCCCACCTGCAGTAACTTAAGCATTTTTAGCAATAGGATTGTGTTATCCAGCCAGAGGAAACACCAAATTAGTTCTGATGTCACAATCAAGATCATAGACCTATATGTTTTGTCCTATTTTTATCTAACATTCTTTCAAAAAGTGAAGGTGGTCAGGTGGATATTTTTGTAACTTTTATAAAAAAAACAATTGTGTTTGGGTTGTTTTTTTTTAATTTTCCTTTCAAATATATTATACAACAACCTAAGAGATTTGTGAACAAAACTTTACATACGTCTTCTGGCTGAAGTGATCTCACACCAACATAATATCAGCACTCCTTAAGAGGTATATAGCCTTAAAGCTACCTATCTACAGTAGTCTCATCTTTATAGTGTACATCCATGATGGTGGTTTTGCAGAGCTATATTGTTGAAGGCAGTTTAGCACTTACATCACTGTCAGTTTAAACCCAGTGTATTTTAGTTCCACATTTTATGAACACTAAATTCATTCAGATTTCTAAAAAGAGTAGTTGACTTCAAACAATCTCTATCCCACTGCATTTTCGCCCTTTCCAATCAGTCTGTTTATACAGTTTTCAGGAAATAACTCTGACTGTTAGCATATTTATAAAGTCATGTAGGAAACAGCCACCACTACTCATGATACTTACATTTTAAGTTCCAGGCGAAACTGTTTCAACTAGAGACAGTTGACACATGATGCATCCCCCCCAAGTTCTGAAACAGCTTTATCCTTTTCTTGGGAGGCGCCGATATCCCTAACAATAAAGGAGAGATTCAAAAGATTACTATGCAATAGGAATATTTTACTGATTATGCTATCATTTGAAGGGACATAATTAAGTTGAAAATCATATTTTTGTCTGAAAATTGTTGTTTGTATTACCATAAATAGATGTAAGTAACAACTGAGATTACTAAAATAGTTTTCCCTGACCTTTCCATCTCTTTTTCCTGTTAGTTTTAGTTTGAAGATTTGTAACAAATTTCAGGGCATGCTACTTGAAATGGAATCTATTGGAAACAAAGCTTTTGAAATTAGTTAGTGTCATTTAAATGAAATTTTAATTAAGTGCTAGAAGTGTTCAGTACTGTACAAATACACGGTTCCTGCCCTGAGGAAGTAGAAGGCTCAAAAGTGTATGACATGGCATTTTAATATGTAGATAAATCAGGTAATACTTTTATCTGCTGAAGGTAAGTGTAGTATGTATCAGCAAACTCAATCTCAGGAAGCCGACCAGGGGGTTGTTTTCATTAAATTGGATTAAAGGTTCAAAACTCAGACTCAAGTGATGCAACAATGTTTTACCTGTACACAGTAGAGTAGCCTAAGGCAGCCACAGCTCCTTCTCATAGACTCATCGACTTTAAGATCAGACAGGAGTGTCATGATCATCTAGTCTGATCTCCTGCACATTGCAGGCCACAGAATGTTGCCCACCCACTCCTGTAATAGACCTATAACCACTGGCCAAATTACTGAAGTCCTCAAATCATGATTTAAAGATTTCGAGTTACAGAGAATCTGCCATTTACGCTAGTTTAAACCTGCAAGTGATCCATGCCTTATGCTGCAGAGTAAGGCGAAATACTCCCAGGGTCTGTGCCAATCTGACCTCAGGAAAAATTCCATCCTGACCCGAAATATGGCAATCAGTTAGACCCTGAGCATGTATTGTAGAAACACTTAGAAGCCCCAATTAAGGGTAAGGCATTGTGTACACACAGTATGAAAGAAGTCCCTAACCCAAAGTTTGTAATTGTACTGTTAAAGTAGCTCTTGTATTGACACCATAATCTGAAAAATAGAGTAGTCAGATTTGTGAATAGAAGATATAATATCAAGCTAAGAGCAGTGTGTTTGGCCAGGTGATTTGTCATAGCCAGGCACATTCCTTTTAAAGATATTGGATTTTAAATGAGAGACTTGGCTTGAGATGTGGACCCTTCTCATGACTGTGTGTGTTTAAAATAAATAATATGACACTTTATCCTAAGAAGCCTTCGTGACGTAGCAGCTTTGAAAGTTAGAAAACGACCAGTGTTCTGTTACATTAGTGATAGGTATTATCACACAGTACTTGTGTGTTGAGAGTTGGACTTTTCACTTGAATTAGGTTTGCACATACAGATACTAAGATGGAAATTGAAATGATGTGGTGCTTTGGCACAATACTTTGAACTTTCTAAGATGAATAGCCAAACTCTTAGCCCGAGTAATAAGTCTGAAAGAAAATGTGTAGGGTCAGGACTCAGAGCATGAGGTATTACATATCAACTCCATTTTATATATGCTTCCCTAATACAGAAAAAGGCACACACAGCTGTTTTTGTCTGATTGTTCCTGTAATCTGAATTTTTTTTTTGTTCTTGGAGTTAGAAAACCTATTCTTTTGAAAAATAAAAGACGCCTGGAAACAAAAGCTCATATTTTAAGCTATACCAAGAATACAACCGTGACAAAATGGTGTATTTCAGTCAGTCTCCATTGAGAAGGGAGAGAGTTGTTTTTCCCCCCAAAGGAAACAAAAGAAAACCGCCCCTTCCTTCCCTGCACTCTACCCTTCAACTCAGAGTATTTCTCTGTAAACTAAGTTTTCTGTTGGCCTAGGTTTTAACTCTACTCAGACACTGGATTTTATTTATTTTTATTTATTTATTGGCTTTCATCCTGAACCAACCTTTTTTTACCATGTGTTAGAATAAATAGAAATTGGGAAGATGGCCTTCTATTAATGGTCCAAATAACTAGCTGGGTCTGCCTATTTTTAGTGTGCCTATCACTGTGATTTCCAAGGTTTCAAAGGAATCGAGACGTCCGTGCTGTTTAGGGATTATTTTCGCTACTTCTCCTTCACCTGATTTGTGCATCTGTAGATCATCCGTTGGGGAGGGTGGGAGGAAGAATTCTCAGGTCCTTTTCCCAGACTCCTTTAATAAGGAAGGTCTACAGAAGACAATGCAAAGTCTGTGGAAACAAAATGAACTTCTGAGAATAACCCGTTTACTAATAACTGTGCATTTTCTCAACCCCCACCCTCCAAATCTTTTGACAATCAGAGAAGAGTGAACTTCTTGCTGTCTTTGGGAGGGGTGGGGTGGGGGAATTATATATATATAAAATAATTAAAAAAAAAAAAAATACCATGCCTATCTTACAAATGTGGGGAAAGGAAGGCATAGAGCGGTAGGTGACTTTCCCAAAAGTCAGTGGTAGTCAGGCATGGAACTCAGATCTCCTGACTCCCTATCGTGTGATTTAACCACATAACATTGCAACAATTATTGAGTTGTTTTGTTGTTAACTGCTGTAATATTTAACACTTAACATGAAGTACATCTGCTCTTGTTTCTATGAGGCACGTTATTTAAGAGAATATTGATGTTGCATTGTACTTTATATAGTAGCTTTTAAAGCATTCATGTAAACATCTTAGTAGTTTTGATAACATTCCATTTGAAACTAATTGGCTTTGTTTTCTTCTTATTTGCCTGCAATGATTGTTTGTTTGTTCTTATTTTCTCTCCAGGCTTCTAGTTAGTGCCTCCCAGGATGGCAAACTTATCATCTGGGATAGCTATACCACAAACAAGGTGAGAGTAATTGACCAACTGCTGCTTAATTAAAATTTGACTGAAAATACAAGGGAAAGGAATATTGTTTACCTACCTTGGCTCTTAAAGGGATACAGCCAAAACTTAGTTTAGGCCTAACAGCTGACCTCTAAAATTATGATTTTAAACAATGTGGTTAGAGACCTAAATACTGTCTGTGTGTAATATATATTTATAAATATATTATTTATAAAATGTGTTTACCCAGCCTCCGAAAAACTAAAAATATTTCATTGTTCAGTGAGTGTATTTTTGCTTTGCTGCTGCGGGAGTAGAAGCTAATTGGCAAACGTTTCCCAGAAATGTGCTATGTGAGACAAAGCACAGCCATACTAGTTTGGGCTCTGTAATAAAGCAGAGAATTACAAGAATGCAGGTAAGAGATGGTCTCTTTCTGACTGTAGTAACATGACATGAATAAGGGTTACCCTGGCTGTGGTCGGTGTCCAGGGGGCTACTGTTATCAGCGCTATAATAAATTCCATGAAGGGTGAAAAAACAATGCTCGTAAATAATTATAAAACTGGTTGTGGAGAACTTTAAAATAAAAATTTTCTGCAGGTAAATGGCAGTTAAATTAGCAGAGTGCTTTTTTTAATTGAAAAAGACAATGCCAAAATAGGAAATAAAATACTTCTACAGTGATTTCCATATTAGGATTTCAAAACTCTTGAAAACCTTAATTAACACTCAACGTCCCTTGAAAGCAGGGATTTGCATCCCTATTTTAGAATTAGGAAAACTGAATCACAGAGATGTTGCTACTTGATTAAGGTCACACAGGAAGTCTTTTTGGTAGAGTCAGAAATAGAATTCTTTATCAAGTGCTCTAGTTACAAGTACATCATCCCCCCTGAAACAAGATCCACTCAGTGAAAGAGAGACTTTCCAATCCAGGAGATTTGAGGGCATCTTTTTATTACTAGAAAGTTTTTGATTAATAGTTGAGTAGATTACGCCTGAAAACAGTGTGTCTACAGCTGAAAACAGGTTGTCTAAAAATATTCTAGTGCCACATTGTGGCTAAGCAGTGCTCATTGCAATTATGCTGCGCATGATGTAGTAATAACAAAGAATGGGATCGTAAATGTGTTCTATCCTACTGATGAGATTTGAACAACCATCTTGAGGCATTTTATTAGCTTCACGGTAGAAGATGCATGTTTTGCAATTAGTTGGCTGTATTTTTAGCACGGAGCATTGCTCTGCTATTTGGATTTTATTTCACACCCATTACCCACAGGATTTGTAATGGCTATAGATGGAGATTGTATGCATAGAGGGACAAACACCTTTCTAATCCGTAGTCAAGAAATATGAGGAAATCATGGATATTTCACAGAGCCCCACAATACATATAACAACATGATCCATCCCTCAAGGAGTTTACAAACTTTACTTCAAACACAGTGCAACAAGAGGAATAACAAGACAGTAGGTTGCGATTAGAGAAGGAAGGACAGGGTTAGCATTAATAAGACTGTGTGGTTACTCAGTGAAGGCTAGTATACAGCATGGGGGAGCAAAAAGGGGAGTTTGTTTAAATAGTGAAAGGCCTTGGTTTGCTAACTTATTTGGTAAGTGTTGAAGTGGGTTTTTTAAGGCAGGATTAAAGGAGGGGCAAAGTAAATCTCCTCTTTTTGCTGTTCATTGTTCCTTCCTAGTATATAATCCTGGAATTAACAATTTTTTACCTACCATAAATTGAGCACCAGTGTGTTTTCTCAAGCTAAAAAAATAGTGCTCGGTCTATAATCATAAAATCATTGACTAACTCTTGTGGCTTTTAGCAGAGCTACCGATTAAACTGGATTCTCTGCTAGAGTGCAGCTCTGAAGTTTTAATTAAGCCACTATTTGGTTTGACAAGTTAAATGCGCAAATTATTCCTGAAATAAGGTTGGCCCTTGGAGTACAAGGACTTTTCATCTTTTTCATTATTCTTCCTCCTGCTACCTTTAAAAAGAGAGTAGTGTAGTTACAGAGAAGATGTAAATAAGAACCTCCTGATGATCAATTGACTTAAAGATAAATTATGTATTTTGTCTGTGCTCCAGGTCCATGCCATTCCCCTGCGTTCATCTTGGGTGATGACCTGTGCATATGCCCCCTCTGGAAACTATGTGGCCTGCGGTGGTCTTGATAACATCTGTTCCATTTACAACCTGAAAACTCGTGAAGGAAATGTACGTGTCAGCCGTGAGCTGGCTGGTCACACAGGTGAGCATCAGTTCTGAAGGGTAAACTAGTTGTGAGCTGAACGCATGATGAATCGTGAACATTAGATATGGAAAAGATCCATTAGGTGATCTACTCAATCCTGCAATGCCAGAGGACTGGTTTCCTACAGCATACAGTCCAGTCTTATTTTAAATGTCCCAAGCAATGAGGCTTCAATCATTTCCCTTGAAAGACTATTCCATAGACTAGTCTCTATCAAGAAATTTTTCTTTAATATTAAACCTGAAAGTTAAGTGTCGTTGTGTGATCCTGTTGCTTTTGTGCATACCTTTTTGCACCTGGTTAAATACATTTTTCCCCCTTGTCTGTTCACTTTTCAAATAGATGACTTTCCCTCCTCCCATTCCCCAAGCCAAAATCACAGTCATCACCTTGCCAGTTTATACATCTTTAGTTTTTAATCTTTCTTCAAAAATTGTTCTTTTGTTGCTCACAAGCACTATATTTGTTACAACTTTTTGTAACACTTTAAACATCTAAATAATTAATAGAACAACTTCACCAATCTTTCTAACAGCTTCATAAATCTTTATTGCTCACTTCCCCAAATAGAGACAATGGTCCCTTACAGGAAACACGTTGCCAAGTGCAGCATTACACAAATTTAAAACAATCAAACTCTTGTTATATGTAATAAACATTGTGACAGAAATTTGGACACAATTTTTCCTTAGATACATGAGTGTCAACTTCTTACACTTTGTCCGCAGTCTTAAATTAGTCTTTATTTACCTCATTGTTGGTGCTGGTTTATTTGAGAGGGCACTTACTGTAAAACCATATCCTAGAAAGCTTAATGTAGTTTGGCCAAATATTTAGTCTTTGGAGGTCATGAAGGGGAAGATTTAGTGATTACAAAAGGGAATTATTTCATTTTGCAACTTTTTTTTTTCTTTATGGAAAGTAAAACTGTTCCAGTATAGCATATCTGCTTAAAGGTATTTTTTTTCTCTTGTATCCAAGCCCTTTCCTGATACTGAAAGAACACTACATTTACAAACTCAAATTGGAGAGAAAAAACTAATTGGTCATGCATTTGTTTTATTGTGGAGTGCTATCAGATATCACAGACTGGCTGCTGGTGCCAATTTTTATTTCTGTGAACTAGACCATTTCATCTTGCTGGGTTTTCATTAGGTCCCAAAGATCTGAGCTCTGATTTTTCAGAGATGCTGCCCTTTCACTTGGAGCTGTAGGGGCTGAGCCCCTCCTGAAAATCAAGCCCATTGTGTCTAGTCTTGGTCTCTAAATTACCTTAATCATTCTGGAAGGCAGAAGAATTGGTTCTTTGAGTTTCAGTGTAAACCAGAGGTAGGCAACCTATGGCACGCGTGCCAAAGGTGGCACGCGAGATGATTTTCAGTGGCACTCACACTGCCCGGGTCCTGGCCACTGGTCCCGGGGGCTCTGCATTTTAATTTAATTTTAAATGAAGCTTTAAACATTTTAAAAACCTTATTTACTTTACATACAACAATAATTTAGTTATATATTATAGACTTATAGAAAGACACCTTCTAAAACGTTAAAATGTATTACTGGCACGCGAAACCTTAAATTATAGTGAATAAATGAAGACTCGGCACACCACTTCTGAAAGGTTGCCGACCCCTGGTGTAAACCATGGTCTGTTTTTCAAGGTCTTCCTTTTTTTTGCAGGTACTTACCCATGTTCACCCTGCTGTCCCCACATGCTCAGTCACTGATACTGGATAATTCCTTTGGAGTCCCCAGAATTAATTACTTGGCTGCTCAGGGTACTGACATCTAAGAACCTCTGCCCTGAACTTCAGATTTAAATCCCAGAGTGACTTGTATCTTACTACTCTTGGAAGTCTGTAGAGATGTTAGGCTGGCCATAGAAATATCTGAAAGCCTTAAAAATCTTTTTCATCACTAAAAGCTAGGACGGTAGTGCCCAGTGTTCTAGGATCCTCAGTGGCTCCTTTTCAGTGGCTCAGCTTCCAGAAGGAGGGCACAGAGCTAGTTTAACAGGATACTGGGGAACTGCCCCCAGCGTTACATTGGTGTAGGTTGTCCTACACTGCTTCCCTCTGCTGGAGGTAGAAGGGGACAGAAGGGAGGGGAAGTGGTCAGAGTACTCTGCACTGCAGCTGTTCTGGGGCTTCTCTAACCTACATCAGGGCCATGCCAGAATCCTGGAGACTACAGGGCTACATTCGGCCCTCCTGGGGTTCTCTCTCTTCAGAGGTGCAGCACAGAATCTGCCCCAACCTTTTTCATCAAAGTAACTAATGACTCTGATAACTAGAGATAAAGAGAAGTTAAACTGGATAATGAGCTATGATTGTGAGAACAAAGGTACCCATATAAGGGCTCCATTTTCTTTGAAATAAGAAGATCCACCAAGGCAGCTAAAAACAGAGGGGATGAGCTCAGGATTTTTCTCTTCCCCCTCTACAGTCCAAGAGCATTGTAGCAGTAACATCCCATATCACAGCAGAAGTTGAAATGGTAATTCATTAGAGTGACTTCTACCTGCTGAAGGAATGTGCAGTTGAGGAAAAAGGAAAAGAAGCTGAAAGCCACTCAGAAATAGGATGTAAATTGGCTTGATATCCTGCCTTGTCGAGGTCTGATCTGGAACATTGGTTCAAAGAGTGTCTGTGCTGATTCTGGAGAGCCCAACTGCCCGTAACAGGACTCTGTTTATCTTAGATGTTATATAGTGCCAGTCACTTTAGTAGCTATGTGTTTATAATCCTAGTATGTGACATACTCAGTGCTACATCAGCAGGCCTTTGTTCACTTGCAGATTCAGTAATAATACACCCAGCAACCTGAGGGAGGGAATCAGCTTGTAATAAGTCATATCTGTCAAGGTTGCAACCCTGAAACTGTGTGTCCTCTTTATGCTGCCTTTGTTTCTGTAAAGAACAAAATCCCAAGATGCAGCAAAACAGAGGCCTCTTACTCCAGAGGCTGCCAGCATGGCTCCGGAAAAACCTTTAACAGCTCTAAGAGGAAACATCAGGCGGGCTATGTGTCTTGCTGGTTTTCTGCCTGATCAAGCCTCTACCTATACAGTGTAAAGGGAACCCTCTGAAAACTGTTCATTGAAGGAAACCAAGGTTATTCATACACGAATCGTTATAATCAGGCAAACCTTCCCAAGCTTCTGTTTAATGAAAAGAATAACTAAAATGCATTAAACCATATTGTAGATGGCACTTAACTTCTTTGTATCTCTTGTGTTTCTTTCAAAGCATAGATTAGTTACCTGGTTCACTGGAGTTGTGTACTCTGTCTGAAATAGAGAGATGTTGACTAACCACTAAAATAGATACTTAGTAGTTGTGATAACCAAGCAAACCATGATCCATAAAAAGTACTTTTCTTTAATATCCGTTATAAAGGAAAATGGAACTAGCTGTCTCATACATTTTTGTTGGGTATCCATGATGCAGCCTATGTGCATGTCAAAATCCTAAAAAAAGATTTGAGCAATAAAAAGCCAAGAATATCTTTTCAATATATCTTAGCTGTTCAGTGACCTCCTTTAGAGATGGCCCTGTAAATTAGTAAGATCACTAAAATGTAGTATGTGGGTTCATGGCAGGGTGAATGTGGTCTCTACAGAGGGTGAAAGACTGTACTATATTGTAGAGGCCTAGAAAGGGTGCATCAAAAGAGGTGATTGGTTTCATTTGTTAGTGTGAAAACTTAGAGGGTCAGTTTTAATTAACTGCTCTTTTAGTGCAGGGTTAAGCAGGGCTGATGCAATAAAACTGTAATTGGGGGTGACAACTAGTTCTGGACTTGGCGATGAATGAGGACAGACATGGATGGATTTTAAGCAGCAGGCTGCAACTCTGTTATACTTAACGGAGGGGAGGGACACTACCTTCCTAGTCACCTGTATTTTAAATGGTTCCAATGCAGAGGTTACAGGGCTCCTCCCATATAATCCAGAACTCAGGGTAGACTTTCCTCGGCCTACCCTAGGACTCAGCTTGCTCTTCTGAATCTGACCACCAGCCCCTGTGAAGGGTACAGATCGGACTAAAAGGGGGGACATTACTTCACAAAGGCCACAGGTCTCCCCCTATCCCATGAGCACAAGGCCCCTCCGCAAAATCCCAGGCATTTCACTTCTGGGAGCCATTCCTTTTAGCCTTCTCACTGCACTGGAAACTGGCTGAAAGTTGCAACAAACTAACATCCCTGCCAAGTACTATCATGAATTACTAAATCCTCTTCCTGTTTAACCTGACCATGCATGGAGTATGCTCAGAGGAAGGTGAAAAAATCCACCAGGCCTATGCTAATTTGGCCACAACAGGAAGAAAAACATTTCTTCCTGACCCCAAAACAAGCGATCAGTAAGACCTGCAGCATCTGCAAAAACAGCTCTTTTTGTGTTTGCTCACGTTGATTCCAATTAGGTGTGTGCGTGCCATGTGCACAGTTGTCAGAAGGTTTCCTCAGGTTCGTGGTCAACTGCAGCCATTACCAATTTACAGTCCTCCCCTTTGGCCTGTCAGCAGCCTCATGAGTGTTTACCAAATGTATGTCAGTCGTAGCTGCTGCCTTCCTATGCCAGAGGCAGGTACAGGTATTCCCGTACCTTGCCGATTGGCTGCTCAGGAGACAGTCCAGGGACCAAGTGGAGCACCAGGTCACCTTCGTAAGATCCACCTTCGACAGACTGGGTCTCATGCTCAACAAGTGCAAATCAACTCTATCCCTGATGCTGAGAATAGAGTTTATCGGAGCAATGCTGGACTCGGGCCAGGTCGGGGCATCCCTGCCGAGGGCTCAGTTTCGGACAATGACAGAAATTATGCAAAGCTTCAAGCGGTACCCCACCACCCCAGCAAGGAATTGCTTGAAGCTCCTCGGCCACATGGCAGCATGTACATATGTGGTACAGCATGCAAGGCTGAGGCTCGAGCCTGGCTGGCATCAGCCTATTGGCCAGGGCGCAACAGTCTGGACAAGGTGTTCACCCTCCCAGTGCCAGTTCTTGACTCTTGCCACTGGTGGCTCAAGCCACAGGAGGGATGCAAGGGAGTCCCCTTTGCCAAGCCCCAGCCCTCCATGTCCCTAGTGACAGATGCGTCAGCGCTGGGATGGGGTGCTCACCTGGGAGACCTTCAAGCCCAAGGTCTCTGGTTGCAAAACGAGCTCTCACTCCACATCAATGTCGAGGAGCTGAGAGTAGTCCACCTGGCATGCCAGATCTTCCAAGCCCACTTGCAAGGGAAGTGCACAGGGGTGTTGATGGATAATCCAACTGCGATTTTTTTATATAAACAGGCAGGGTGGAGTTTGTTCCTCTCCCCTATGTCGGGAAGCCCTCAAGCTGTGGGACTTCTGCATAGCCCACTCTATTCATCTGGAAGCATTCCTTTCTCCCAGGTTCCCAGAACAAGTTGGCGGACTATCTCAGCAGATCCTTCCACAATCACGAGTGGTCTATCCAACTGGATGTAGTACACAGCATTTTCCAGAGGTGGGGAGTTCCCCAAATCAACCTGTTTGCCACGAAGAGCAACAGAAAATGCCCTCAGTTCTGTTCCTTCCAGTATCACAGTCTGGGCTCCCTCACAGATGTGTTCCTCCTCCTCTGGATGGACTAGCTGTTGTATGCGTTCCCACCATTTCTACTTGTCCACAACGTTCTGCTCAAGTTCTGCAGGGACAAGGCTGCAGTCATACTGGTAGCACCAGCCTGGCCTCTCCAGCACTGGTATACCACACTCCTGGAGCTGTCTGGATACTCCAATCTCGTTGCCCTTGCTTCCGGACCTGATCACCCAAGACCATGGTCATCTTCATCATCCCAATCTCGAGTCTCTTCACCTCACCGCTTGAAAGCTTCGTGGCTAAACCTGATGGAGCTGATATGTTCTGAGCCCGTTAGGGAGGTCCTACTGGGCAGCAGGAAACCTTCCACTGGGACTACCTACCTGGCCAAGTGGAAAAGGTTTGCAATTTGGTGTTCTCAGGGCCACGCTCTCCCGATGCAGGCGCCCATACTGCTCATCTTAGATTACCTACTGCACTTAAAACAGCAGGGCCTTTCTGTATCCGTGCTCAATGTCCACCTGGCAGCCATTTTGGCCATCCACCTGAGAGCGGCTGGCCATTCAGTCTTCACCAACCTGATGGTCAGTCGTTACCTGAAAGGTCTGGACAGGCTATACCTGCAGGTTAAGCAACCAGTCCCGGCATGGAGTCTCAACCTAGTCCTCTCCAGACTAATGGGAGCCCCGTTTGAACCCTTGGTGACTTGTTCATTGCTCCACCTTTCATGGAAGGTGGCCTTCCTAGTCACCATTACATCAGCAAGGAGACTCTCGGAGCTTAAAGCCCTGACTTCCCATCCCCCTTATACCATTATTTTTATAAGGACAAGGTGCAGCTTAGGCCTCATCCAGCCTTTCTCCCAAAGGTTGTGTCCCTAAGCCTGACGCAGATAGTAGAGAACAAAGGCTGCCCTCCTTGGACGTTAGAGCGCTGGCCTTTTCCATTGAACGCATAAGGCCGTTCCGTAAGTCAATCCAGTTGTTCATGGCGGTTGCGGATAGAATGGAAGGCCTCCCAGTCTCGTCATGTAGAATTTCATTGTGAATCACGTCCTGTATCCGGGCATGCTACGAACTGGCAAAGGTTCTGGTCCCAGCACTAACGGCACATTCCACAATAGCGCAGGCCTCCTCAGCAGCATTCCTGGCCCAGGTCCCCATCCAGGAGATCTGCAGGGTGGCGACGTGGTCCTTGGTTCATGCTTTCACCTCTCATTATGCTATTACCCAGCACACCCGAGTGGTGCTTCAATCAGCAATTCCATTAATTCCGACTCCACCTCCTAGTTAGGGTTTGAGAGTCATCTAATTGGAATCGATATGAGCAAGCACTTGAAGAAGAAAAAATGGTTACTCACCTTCTCGTAACTGTTCTTCAAGATGTGTTGCTCATGTCCATTCCAAGGTTCGCCCGTCTTCCCCTCTGTCAGAGTAGCCAGCAAGAAGGAACTGAAGAGGTGGCGGGTCGGCAGGAACCTATATTCACTGCCATGAAGGCACCGCTCCAGGGGGCTCCACTGCCGTCTGGACAGGTGCTGTTAGGGGAAAAGCCTTCCGATAACTGTGCACGTGGCACATATATGCACCTAATTGGAATGAACATGAGCAACACCTCTCGAAGAACAACAGTTACGAGAAGGTGAGTAGCCATTTTTTTTAAAACTACAGTCACGGGGAAGGAGTGGGGAGCTGCTGAAATAAAGCAAAAAGAGGCTCCCTGTGGTTTGAGCTATGATTTAAATTAATGAAAAGGGAGAGCAAGGGATGAGTCAGCTCCCTTCCTCCTCTGGCTGGTTATTGAATGGGTAAAGCCTTTGGAGGAGGGGCCCACCCCTGCATGCCTCAGGGAATGCTCTTCCTCTTTCTGCTGGGGCTCTTCTAGTCACAGCTGGTCCCAAAGAGAGCAGCTTCCCCCTAGAGAAGAGTTAGATTGATCCAAGTAATGTCATGAGGGCTTGTTACCCTTGTGTATAAGGCCACCAGTTTCCTTTCTTCATGTTGTCTTAGTACAAGATAGATCTTTTCTCACACTCTCTTCTGCTTGGACTGTGAATCCTTGGACGCTCACAGCCCAGGTTGTCCCAAATAAGAGCTATGAGACTTTTCAACCCTAGTCTTATGTGAAAGAGTATCATCTGTTCGTTTAGGTCTCTTTTTTTCTTTAACAACCAAATGGACCTTTTGTGTTTTCTAGTGGTGTTTTACTCTTTGCTTGGATAAGCAGTTCAGCAAACATTAGATTGCTGTAAGACTCAGTCTGTAAATTAAAGTGGTCCTTAACCAATTACTCTGATCAGTACTACTTGTGGAATTTCTGACTATTCTTGATGGTTTCCTTTCTGAGTGTATCTACACTGCAGTCAGAGGCATGACTGCAGCATGTGTTAAACATCTAGTTAGCCGTGTACCGGTGTCCATGAAGCCACAGTAGTAAAGGCTATATACAAGCCCACCTGGGGCCCAGGTTATGGTCTTGGGCGGCTATCCCAGGCTGCTGCAGTTTCAGTGCTATTTTATCTAGCTAGATCAAAGCTATCTGAGTTATGCCTACATGTGCTGCAGTCACATCTCTGACTGCAGTGTAGACATGCCCAGTATGTGCAGGAGAGGAGGCTTCACTACATGCCCAACTCAATCTGAAAAGTAGACAAGAATTTGCGGCTTTGTTCAGCCATGTGTTACTTTTTGCAGGTTACTTGTCATGCTGCCGTTTCCTGGATGATAATCAAATTGTTACGAGCTCTGGAGACACCACTTGGTAAGCAGTCGAACTGTAACATTTGTACTAATGGCTGCATATTCAAAAATACAGATAATATATTATGGGGGAACTTGTCATAACACTTAGTAATAGCAATAGTGTTGAAGTGCAGTATGAATCCTATGTAAGCAATCTTTGGTATAGAATTCTCATAGGACACATAAATAAAAACTCCTAATGGCTTGCAATTTAGGATAAATAACATACAAATGGAAATACTGCTGTTAAGCTCTACAAACTATGCTTTTGAATATCCCCTTTTTAAATAAAATGCATTAGGTGTGTGAAAAGCCAGACTTTGAATTTTTTCCTTTGCATTTGTCAGACCGTGGGTTTCTCTTACCATTTAGGTACTGATAGACCCATGTGCGAAGTAATTTCCATCATTGATGGTTTTTATTAACATCTCTAATAAAAATAATGCAATATTTTTAAATTTTAAAACTCTTTACATATGGTCTCTAAGAGCTCATCCAGAGCAATTATGGCTCACTGAGGAAAGAATTAAAGTTTCAAAAATATGGATTTTGACACATTCTGGAGCTCTAGCTTTAAACAAGTCTCCTGTAACAACGGATAATTAGGGACCAGTGTCTGAACAGAGGAAATAGCTCCCCCAAAATGGTAATGTCTGTTTAGTTGTCTTGTATACTTTTTAAAAATCCATTATCAAATTATTGGGGAGTGAACTTGGTGTATACAGGCAGTAAAGAGTCACAATTAGTGCACGTTTTATAGTTAATTTTATGCCAGTGTCATTTAATAAACCCCCAACATTTTGCACTTCTTTTTTGCACTCTGTTACTGATTGGTTGTTTCAAATTTTGAAGTCCATGATATTAATTCTTATTGATGATAAAATGGAATATGGAACCATAGATATTTGGTTGTCAGGGGAAGGATAGGTTGAATGAATTAATGACCTTTTTCCGTTAAGTTCTGTAGTACCATTATAGAAAAAAGTTATTAAATATTGAATCACATTGGTAAAAATTTTTATTTAAATCTGTAAGATTCTGAATAGCTTTCAGAAAGTCTTCTTAAAAAGTTAGCAGAAGTGAATTTTAAAGGAGTATCGCTGAACATTTAACAAAACATTAGTTCCAAAACTAAAAATTTATCAGTCTTTGAAAAATATTCTTATTTTGTGATCCATTGGCTTAATATAAACATAATGTTCTGTTGTAATTTGTATACTCCATAGTCCATTTTCAGAGATCAGCTAAAACACTTAAGGTGCTTTCTCCTATAGGAGTCGTCTGTAGTGCATTTGCTTCTAGAGGTTGTTATGCTCTAGTCCAGTGGCTCTCAAACTTTTTTACTGGTGACCCCTTTCATAAAGCAAGCGTCTGAGCGCGAAATGCCCCCCCCCCCATATAAATTAAAAACACTTTTTTATATATTTAACAACATTATAAATGTTGGAGGCAAAGCGGGATTTGGGGTGGAGGTTGACAGCTCACGACCCCCCATGTAATAACCTCATGATGCCCTGAGGGGTCCCGACCCCCAGTTTGAGAACCCCTGCTCTAGTCTCACTAGCAAAGAAATCTCGTTTTTGTGGGCTATACTTTTTATGTAGTTTTAGCTCTTCTGCCATAACCAACAAAAGAAAAAGCCCTTTTAGGTTACAGATCTATAGAATAAGGCTTAACAAGACTCAAGATATTCAGCAAATTCAGTCTGTGTTCTGTTCTTACACTGAATTGTTACTTAAGATGGATTTAATTTTAATCCATCAGAACTGGAAAGGTAATGTTAGATTCCCCCAAAGTTAGCTCTGTTTCTCGACTTGCACAGCATTTCTGTGCTGCTTGTAGTGCGGCCCGTTTAAATACCTGCTTAACCAATAAATATTCATTTTACCAAAAAATTAAATGTAAACCAAAAAATTCGCATGTTGAATAAATAAATCTTGAAGGGAAAATAGTAGTACATCCACTAGGCAGCAGTACTTACGGTGATTATTTTGAAGTCTTCCTAAGACATTCACTACAGTTGTGTTGGTCCCATAAGGACCCTCCTATTAAACGGCCTTTTTGAGTGGCTGCTTAAGATGGATGTTGATTGTACATAAATGATCCTTTTTAAATACACCAAGAATTGCTAAAGTGATGCTCTTTGTACAAGATTATATAGCTTTAGCAGGTTTTGACTGTTGCATGTAATAATTTTTCAAAGTCCAGGTAGGGTGTTGAGTACACAAATTCTGGCCTTCTCTTATGGCCTAGCCACTGGCAAGGGATTCCTTTTTGTCTTGTTCTTTCTACATATGCATTTCTGGAACACATGTGGTTCATAATGAAAGCTGGTTCTATTAAGAAAAAACTTCTGCTTTTGTGCTGATGGTTCCCTTCATTTATGGAAGGAGGAAGCCAGTAGTCTCCTTCCTCTAAGCCTGCGCTTTCCTAGAATGGGGAACTAAAGAGGAGACCGACATGGAGGGCATGATGTTTTCTAGCTGCAAATGGATTTGTGCTGGAACACTAAGCAAAATTTCATATCATAGTTGGAACTGACTAGTGAAAGCTGATACAGAATTAATTACTGAACGTATGGTTTACATAGCCAGGGAACCCTAAAACACAAAATTGGCTTCTGCACTGGCTCTAAGCCAAAGCAGAATCTACATTGTGCTCACCTACTGGGAAAGAGACCAGACAAGCTAAATGCTTTCTTCTAAACATCTCTGGAAAGTCTGCTGCTTTTGTGGATGATGCAGTCAGTATTTCATCCCCTTTTTATATCCTGTGATTGTCACTGTAGTGATCTTGCTGTCAATGGAAAAGTGTGGGCACTGACAGCCATGAGGCAACAGTGAATTATTCTGGCTGAATTATACACCCTCAAAAAGCCGCTTTTTAAAATTAATGGAAACACTGACTCAACCTTAACTATAGCAGCGATAGTGGGTGCTACTCTAAAACAGCTCTACACTAGTGTTAGAACACTGCCATGTTACAGAACTCCATGTATCAACAATGATGAACATTAGTCACTTTGCTCGCTTTATATTGCTGGTAACCCAGCCAAGAAGCTGATCCTCTGTAACCAGAAATAACATGTGGCTCCATCTGAAAGTACTGGTGCCTTTTTAAGGCAAAGACTGAGCGCCTGCATATGATATACCAAAATGTCTCAAAGGAGAGCATCTTCTTCCCATGTACTTTGGGATTAATTTTTTCCCTTTTTATCTTAAATACAAAAATTAAACCAGAGAAAACAAGTGACAAACCAGCCAAATCTGGGCTAACCAGCCCTGTCTGAACTTCTAGTAATGTACTGCAAGACTTTGTTTTAAAAAATCAATTTTATTTGATGGTTCTAATTTTTGTCATTTTATCTCTCCCCCCTTCCGTCAAGCGCCCTTTGGGATATTGAAACTGGCCAGCAGACGACCACGTTTACTGGACACACCGGGGATGTCATGAGTTTGTCCCTGGCTCCTGATGCCAGGTGTTTTGTTTCTGGTGCCTGTGATGCCTCTGCCAAACTGTGGGATGTTAGAGAAGGAATGTGTCGGCAAACATTCACTGGCCACGAGTCAGACATCAATGCCATCTGTGTGCGTATGAACTCTGAATTGGGGGGATGGGATTTAAGTTCATGATATATACTTTGCAGTCAGCTGTTAGAATTTAACACATAGTGCATCCTAGAGTATTACAGCATAGTTTTTCCAAAACAAAATGTTTTCCACAGTTGACAAAACTACATTCAATTTGTTGTATTGCATAAAGTTTATTGCAGTAAATGGCAATTTGTTAGGTGCTTAAATAGTACGTTACTAAAGTTTTTTTGATAGTAATATTTATTATTTCATCTTCAGAAGGCTTTAAAAACATTAGTGCTGTTGTGATGGAGATAATAAGGTACTTTAAGCTCCTCTTTACAGATAGGGAAACAGAGAGGCAAAGGGATGTGGCAAAGAACACAAAGGGAGTCAAACCAAGCTAGGAGTAGATCTTTAGTTCCTAGCTCTCAATTCTGGGCGTAAGACGACTGGCCTGCAGGAGTACTCCAAAGTACCAAATGAAAATGGTTTAGCATGTTTTGTACTATCTAAGATTTCATAGTAGTTGTCCAAATGGAAAAAGCCCTGTTCCCAAAAGCTGCAAAACACAAATTATCTTGTACTATAATATCTTTGTTTTGTTTTAAAGTTCTTCCCAAATGGCAATGCATTTGCCACAGGCTCAGATGATGCCACATGCAGGCTCTTTGATCTTCGTGCTGACCAGGAGCTTATGGTTTATTCACATGACAATATCATCTGCGGCATCACCTCTGTAGCATTCTCCAAGAGCGGACGTCTCCTCTTAGCTGGTTATGATGATTTTAACTGCAATGTCTGGGACACGCTGAAAGCTGATAGAGCAGGTAAATAGTTTGTGCATTAGGTTTTAAATACTATCAACTGCACCTAAAGGGGTGACCTATTGACAGTCCTTTATCAAACATTAGCACAGTGCTGTTAGCCTACTGTAATTAACTCAATGATGTGGTCTGCTGTGAGATCACCCCAGGTGAAGGTATTTTACCTGTGTTGTCAACATGCTGGTAGATTTGTAAATGTTAGTGAAGAATATGGGGTTTCTGAGAACAGAAAGCTACCCTCTGCAAACAGAACTCAGTAAAAGAATGACATCTGGGAAAAGTAAATATATTTTTACCTTCAAAGAGCTTATTTTACACTTGGACTGTTTAAAAGTATTTGACACTTTATGAAACACCTACTATTAATCACTTCATGTATGGAGGGTCTACGACCGTGTAATATTTATACGAAGATAATTGTCATTAGTATTTCACTGAAACAATTCAGGTTAATAGTTGGTGGCTATGCTGCACTGCAGTGCTTGAAGCTGTTTAGTATTCCTCTGAGAATTTGCACTGATTTTTAGGTAGTGTAACTGTCAAACAGAGATTTGTAGCCACTGATTTATTACCTCAAAATTCTTCACATAGCAAACAGTTCTGGATAGTACTTCTTAAAAACTCACCCTTTATTACCTCATCTTCCACATTTTCTAAAGTTGCCTTATTTGTGTATTTAATATGAAATGTGACTTTGCATGTTTTGGAAGAAGAAACTGTCAAAGGGGGGGGAGGAGCTTATGCTGTTGTCACCTTATCTCAGTAATGGGTATCAGTACCTATTTCACTAATGTGATACATTATCTCTAAGGCATAGCTGGATAATGTGCATTTGTGGCAGTATTTATAAAATTCATAATGAGAAAAGGGAAAAGAGGTTATGTAACTTTATTTAGGGATATAATTAATGGGAGGAGATGGGTATTGAATTTACCAACCCAGCTAGTATAGATATTATCAGTTCCTAAAATATAAACTAATGATAATAGAACAAGGAAAGTACAAATTATCATAAATGACCACAAAGTTTCTTCTTATGATTATAGAATGTAAAGAAGAGGAACTAGATAGATTAATGGAGAAAGTATTTCTAATTCTTGGAACCAGCACAAGGCTAAAAAACTAGGTTCTGTTTAGTGTCTGGAGGAAAGCAATAAACAAACATTGGTACAAACCTGATCACTGCTGAGGGGGGAGGCTGTGCTCAGAATAGAGAAAACACCAGCAACAGAGACTTTCTATGTGACGTTAGTCCCTTCATTGTAGTCTAAAAGCAGTGCTCCCATGGCTTGCTTGCTTGCTTCCCCTGCCCTTTTCCAACACATCTGATACCTTCTGTCAGTGCAGTGCAGAAATTGGCACAGTAGTAGCTCAGAGTTCATCTGATGTGTAGAGCAGGTTACTTCACTTTTCAGTGCTGTTTATGATTTTAATTGTACCAGGAACATAAATTTTTCAAATAAGTATAATATGGTTATGCTATCCAAATGCACCTTATTCAAGGTTTTCCCACAGTGGTTATTTACAGTTGAAATCTGTAATCTTGATACTTGAGGCCAGAAATAGACATGCAAATGAAAACAAATTGGTAGTCTGAAATTGCATATATTGATAGCCAGAGAATTTTCCTTTCATAAATGTTATCTTCCTTACTACTGGCTTTAAATCAAGTGCTGTAGAAATAAAATAACTTGCTGTTCCACCAGAGAATCCATTGAGCAGATGAATATAAGGTGTTGCTTGTTGCTTTTGGATTGTCTCCAGGATTTCAGTTCGTAAATTTTGTAACTCCATGGTAATGTTGGGACCAACACTACAATAATTCTTTGTGATAAACTATTAGGTGGGTGATCCAAGCAGATTAGGGAACTCTTAGTGACATATTATTACACTTTATAGTTTTTCTGTTGGGGAAAACTATATTTGGTCCCTGGTGACAATTCTTTACTTTGAAGCTGATTAGGAGGAAGTGATGAGCTTGCTGGCCTGTTGAAATGACTAATACTAGTTCCATTTCCTGCTTTGATTTTATACTATACTAATGCAGGAGGAGTTCGGGGGGCAGGATCTGGCCCGGCGCGTACCGGGGGCAGGGCAGGCTCCCTGTCTGCCCTGCCCCTGCAAGAGGCTGGAACGTGGGGAAGGGGGGGCGGAGGGGCTGTGTGTTTCTGTTGCTTGAGGCACCGCCACCAGCAGCTCCCATTGGCTGCGGTTCCCTGTTCCCGGCCAATTGGAGTTGCTGGGGGCGCTGCCTGAAGCAACAGCCACACACAGCCCCTCCGCCCCCCCCCCCCGCCCCCTCCCCATGTTCCAGCCTCTTCTCGGAGCTGGGCAGGGCAGGCAGGCAGGGAGCATGCCCTGCTCCCAGTGCACGTCTGGCCGGAGCCGCTCTGGTAAACACTGGGGGAGGGCGGGGGGGCTGCGAGGGGCTCGCAGGCCGCAGAAAATCACCCCGCGTGAGACCCCTGATCTAGGGAGTCCAGGATTCTGCAGTTTCCTGGTTTGTTGGGGTTGTTTTTTGGGTGATATGAGGCATTGACTTTTGCATGTCCCTCCTGCAGGGAAAGCGGAAGGGAGGGGGTGAAAATAGATGCACCACCACAACTGATCTGTCTCCCACTCTCCCAGAAATCCTATTGGATCCCTGCATAAACCTCACCATAGAGTGATGTTGAATTGGAAAAGGGATCGCCAGTGTGATTAGAGTCCCAGGGAGCAGCAATACTTAATAAGGAGGAAGGGAGGACAGTCTGCAGATGGTGAAGTCACATGTGTTAATAATCAGTTGTTAGAATCCTAACATGCGTTGACTCATCGGTCACAAATTAACTGCTCAAGCACTCTGCTTCCTCAGGTACTTTGCTTGGGGTCCTGCTACATTAAATCTCACCACTATAATCTCAGTTTTACACACTTCTAGTGTTTGAGTCTATTAGTTCCCTGACTTCTGGTACTGGTGTTACCTCTTATATCCAGAGTTTATGCACAATACTGGATCTCTTTCCTTTCACTTTTTCCAGTTGCAAGACATCTTACTTCTGGACACTCTAATAATCATGATGGTATCCACACTACTTCTACAATAGAATAGTTCTGAGCCATTTCATCAGTTGTGACAGCAGGCTTCCTATATGGCACTATGAATTTTTAAAGATGCTATTAACCGCTTGTACATTGATCATGTGTCTGCTGCTCCAGAAGTGCAGAATTCATTGATTCAAATGGGAGACACTCTGGTACTTCTACAGTTTTAATGTGGAAATCAGAAGTACTACCCAACATATTTTTACATATTATGTACAGTAAGTTAAGCAAATTCTGATTGATCAAGCAAATTCTGATTGATCAAGCAAATTCTGATTGATCAAGTCAATATTTGGAAACTTAAATTCTAAAACATGTACTAGCACTAAATTCTTTTAAACATGTCAACTGCAAACTAGATGGGAAAACATTAACAGCATGAATGCGCGGAGTCATGTTAACAATGTTACTGATGCAAAGAGAGGCTAATTAAGTCCTTTCATCACTAAAACTTCTCCATGCCAGGATTTTGATAATGTAATGAGCTGAGCAAGACTTGAATATAGGTGCTTTTTACCTTCTTTCCTTTAAATGCCCATATAAAAAGTCATACCAGCTCCCTTACTTTTCTTTTTTTTTAAGTGTAGGTGTCTCTTTCAATCTCTCTCAATTCAATTTAATAAGTAAGAAATAAGAAGTGATAGAATGGATAAGACAGAGTCTGTCTGGGCAAAAATCACATTGGGGAAGAAAGCTACTAGAGCCTCCCCTGGGATAGTGCTTGGGGTGCGCTATAGACCACCGGGATTTGATTTGGATATGGATAGCGACCTCTTTAATATTTTTAATGAAGTAAATACTAATGGGAATTGTGTGATCATGGGAGACTTTAATGTCCCAGATATAGACTGGAGGACAAGTGCTAATAATAATAATAGGGCTCAGATTTTCCTGGATGCGATAGCTGATGGATTCCTTCACCAAGCAGTAGCGTAGCTAGAGGAGGAGCGGGGGGAGTGGTCGCTCCCCCACTGAGCACAAGTGGTGCCTTGTAAATTTCCTGGTACCTTTGTACTCCCGCTGCGGCGCTTTTATTTTACTCACCCAGCGGCGCTCTGGGACTTCGGCGGCAGGCCCTTCACTCGCTCCGGGTCTTTGTCGGCACTTGACCGCCAAAGACACCCGGAGCGAGTGAAGGACCCGCCACCGCCGAAGACCTGGAGCACCGCCGGGTGAGTAAAAGCGCCGCAGCGGGTGGCGCCCTTTTTTTTTTTTATTGCTCCCCCTGGCTACGCCACTGTCACCAAGTAGTTGCTGAACCAACAAGAGGGGATGCCATTTTAGAATTGGTTTTGGTGAGTAGTGAAGACCTCATAGAAGAAATGGTTGTAGGGGACAACCTTGGTTCGAGCGATCATGAGCTAATTCAGTTCAAACTAATATATTGAGATATGCTATCTCATAGAACTGGAAGGGACCTTGAAAGGTCGAGTCCAGTCCCCTGCCTTCACTAGCAGGACCAAGTACTGATTTTTGCCCCAGATCCCTAAGTGGCCCCCCCTCAAGGATTGAACTCACAACCCAGGCCAATGCTCAAACCACTGAGCTATCCCTCCCCCTGACAAACTAAATGGAAGGATAAACAAAAATAAATCTGTGACTAGGGGTTTGATTTCAAAAGGGCTAACTTAAAAAAAAATTAAGGAAATTAGTTAGGGAAGTGGATTGGACTGAAGAACTTGTGGATCTAAAGGCGGAGGAGGCCTGGAATTAGTTTCTGCAACTTTGACCTGAAGTATCAGAAGCCTGCAACCTAAGAAAGGGGAAAAAATTCATAGGCAGGAGTTGTAGACCAAGCTGGATGAGCAAGCATCTCAGAGAGGTGATTAAGAAAAAGCAGAAAGCCTACAAGGAGCGGAAGATGGGGAGGGATCAGCAAGGAAAGCTACCTTATTGAGGTCAGAACATGTAGGGATAAAGTGAGAAAGGCCAAAAGCCATGTAGAGTTGGACCTTGCAAAGGGAATTAAAACCAATAGTAAAAGGTTCTATAGCCATATAAATAAGAAGAAAACAAAGAAAGAAGTGGGACCGCTAAACACTGAGGATGGAGTGGAGGTTAAGGATCACCTAGGCATGGCCCAATATCTAAACAAATACTTTGCCTCAGTCTTTAATGAGGCTAATGAGCTTAGGGATAATGGCAGGATGACAAATGGGAATGAAGATATGGAGGTAGATATTACCACATCTGAGGTAAAAGCCAAACTTGAACAGCTTAATGGGACTAAATTGGGGGGCCCAGATAATCTTCATCCAAGAATATTAAAGGAACTGGTACATGAAATTGCAAGCCCATTAGCAAGAATTTTTAATGAATCTGTAAACTCAGGGGTTGTACTGTATGACTGGAGAATTGCTGACATAGTTCCTATTTTTAAGAAAGGAAAAAATGTGATCCGGGTAACTACAGGCCTGTTAGTTTGACAGCTGTCATATGCAAGGTCTTAAGAAAAAATTTTGAAGGAGAAAGTAGTAAAGGACATTGAGGTCAATGGTAATTGGGACAAAATACAACATGGTTTTACAAAAGGTAGATCATGCCAAACCAACCTGATCTCCTTCTTTGAGAAGGTAACAGATTTTTTAGACAAAGGAAACGCAGTAGATCTAATTTACTTCGATTTCAGTAAGGCATTTGATATGGTTCCACATAGGGAATTATTACTTAAATTGGAAAAGATGGGGATCAATATGAAAATTGAAAAGTGGATAAGGAACTGGTTAAAGGGGAGACTACAACAGGTCATACTGAAAGGTGAACTGTCAGGCTGGAGGGAGGTTACTAGTGGAGTTCCTCAGGTATCGGTTTTGCGACCAATCTTATTTAATCTTTTTATTACTGACCTTGGCACAAAAAGTGGGAGTATGCTAATAAAGTTTGCAGATGACACAAAGCTGGAAGGTATTGCCAATACAGAGAAGGACCGGAATATCATACAGGAAGATCTGGATGACCTTGTAAACTGGAGTAATAGGATTAAATTTAATAGCGAAAAGTGCAAGGTCATGCATTTAGGGATTAATAACAAGAATTTTTGTTATAAACTGGGGACTCATCAGTTGGAAGTAACAGGAGAAGAAGGACCTCGGAGTATTGGTTGATCACAGGATGACTATGAGCCGCCAATGTGATGTGGCGGTGAAAAAAGCTAATGCGGTCTTGGGATGCATCAGGCAAGGTATTTCCAGTAAAGATAAGGAGGTGTTAGTACCGTTATACAAGGCACTGGTGAGACGTCATCTGGAATACTGTGTGCAGTTCTGGTCTCCCATGTTTAAGAAGGATGAATTCAAACTGGAACAGGTACGGAGAAGGGCTACTAGGATAATCCAAGGAATGGAAAACCTGTCTTCTGAAAGGAGACTCAAAGAGCTTGGCTTGTTTAGCCTAACCAAAAAAACGGCTGAGGGGAGATACAATTGCTCTCTATAAATATATCAGAGGGATAAATACCAGGGAGGGAGAGGAATTATTTAAGCTCAGTACAAATGTGGACACAAGAACAAATGGATATAAACTGGCCATCAGGAAGTTTAGACTTGAAATTAAACCAAGGTTTCTAACCATCAGAGGAGTGAAGTTCCGGAACAGCCTTCCAAGGGGAGCAGTGGGGGCAAAAGACATACCTGGCTTCAAGACTAAGCTTGATAACTTTATGGAGGGGGTGGTATGATGGGATAGCCTAATTTTGGCAATTAATTGATCTTTGACTATTAGTGGTAAATATGCCCAATGGCCTGTGATGGGATGTTAGATGGGGTGGGATCTGAGTTACTACAGAGAATTCTTTCCTGGGTGTCTGGCTGGTGAGTCTTGCCCACATGCTCAGGGTTTAGCTGATCACCATATTTGGGGTCAGGAAGGAATTTTCCTCCGGGGCAGATTGGCAGAGGCCCTGGGGGTTTTTCGCCTTCTTCTGCAGTGTGGGGCATGGGTCATTGCTGGAGGATTCTCTGCACCTTGAAGTCTTTAAACCATGATTTGAGGACTTCAGTAGCTCAGACATAGGTTAGAGGTTTATTACAGGAGTGGATGGGTGAGATTCTCTGGCCTGCATTGTGCAGGCGGTCAGACTAGATGATCATAATGGTCCCTTCTGACCTTAAAGTCTGAGTCTAATTTTTCAAAATGACATATTGGTTGAGTGGAAGCATCTTCCCTAGTGGCAAATCTAATGAAGGTAGGTGGCCGATCTTTGTTTGCTTTTTCGTAATATGTGTGCTTGTAAACCTAAGAGGAGGGCTAGGGCTCAAGCAAAATTAAATGTGTTTAAGATGCTCCAGCCTAACTCTGTGTGTTTTTTTTATAGTCTAGGGTTTTTTTACAAGATGAATTAGCCTATAATACTGTAGGAGGGGAAGTAATTGAATTTAGCAGCAACGCACTAATAAATATAGAATTCAAAACTGCTTGGGGTGTGCTGTCAGAAGTATTTTGATAAGCTGGTGATGACTTTGTAATTGACGTATGATTATTAAAGATTATTCCTATCAAGTGGAAAATCTTGTGGCTAACAGACTTCGTGTTGTCATATTCTGCATTTGGGAGTCCCTCACTGACTACTTCAATCATTTCCAAGGGAATAGTGCCAAAAGTTTGGGGTAAAGAAAACTATCAAAATCAGACTTGTGTAAATATTAAACCAAGTTAATGTTCCAGTCTTCTGATCGCTAGAGTATCCAATACAAACACACGAGCCCTTATTGCATTGCTTGTAATGAAGTATGTATTCATCAAGACTCTGTAATATGCATGTGTATTCTGTTTAATTTCTAGGTGTCCTTGCTGGCCACGATAACCGTGTCAGTTGCTTAGGTGTGACTGACGATGGTATGGCAGTAGCAACAGGATCATGGGATAGCTTCCTCAAGATCTGGAACTGAAGCCTGTAGGTATTTGAGGGGGGTGGGGAAAAACATCCTTAATTACCTTGTTTATAATCTCATTATTTTTTCCAGGTTTCAGAGTAGCAGCCGTGTTAGTCTGTATCCACAAAAAGAACAGGAGTACTTATGGCACCTTAGACTAACAAATTTATTTGAGCATAAGCTTTTGTGGGCTACATACGAAGAAGTGGGATGTAGCCCACGAAAGGTTACGCTCAAATAAATTTGTTAGTCTAAGGTGCCACAAGTACTCCTGTTGTTTTCATTATTTTTTGTAATTTCAAATGTACGTTGCAACTGCTTTTATGCTACAAGCTTCCAGTTTGGTTTAGAAAAGTAAAACACTAGAAATAAGATTAACTTCTTACAGTTTAATTCAGCCTTGTAAAATTCAACTTGCCTAGGGGAAGTAATTTTTTTTTATAGGTATCATTGACTTTTTTCATTATCATGGTAAAGGGTGGGTGAATGGCTTTCACATCTGGGCTGATAAATATTATTAAAACTTTTTTGAAAATGGTGAAATAAAAATAATGGATGTAAATGTTAGTGTGGGAAGATATAGTAGAGGGTGTGGAAGAATAAACTGTTATACCAGACACAGAAGTTAGTTCAACCAGTTTAGAACTTAATATTAGTGTCAGAACATAAGTTTTAACAAAACTTTTTGTATGTCAGACAAGCGACGGACTCCACCGTGACTGGAAGACATTTCCAACGGTTGAAAACTAAAATGATAGCATATCCAATCCAACCATACTAACTTGGACCCCCCCATTCTCCTCAAAACTTCAAAGGGCAAGATCTTTTACCGTCTCCTATTGCTGAAATGAAGAGCACAATTACTTTTCAAAGAAGAATTTCTGTAGTTGTAAGCAAATGAAATTGTGCATTCCTTTTGGGACCATTTTTTGTCTTGAGAATTTAAAAAAGAAACACTATCATAAAAGCATGACCAGAAAGTAAACTTGAGCATAATTGTGAAACAAACTTAACTTCACTGTAGTTTTCAAGTTAAAGTTGAGAACTTTGTTTTATCTCACACCGTTTCAAATTTTCAAGTCACATTTGTAGAAGGATTTAATTTTTTTTTTTTCACATTTCCTTTTTAAATACATTTCTTTACCGTCAATAACTGAGTAAAACAAGGGAGTCCTAGCCCAGTGCGTCTGGGGTTGTTAATGCTGTAAATTTAGTCCCTACTTTTTTTTATTTGTCTAGTATCACAAATAATTGTTGCACAAAACATGGCATCTATAGAATAATGTTAAGAAGTAAGGTAACCAAGCACATGCTGTACATGGTATTGAATGCTTGTTTAAAGAACCTTTCACCTTTTATGGGTAACAAATGCAAATCCTCAGTTGCTACCCACCCACCCACCCCCCCACCCACCCACTGTTTTTTTAAAAAAAAAAAAATTTTTTTTCCTTTGTCCCCGCTTGGAAGGGCAGTTTATATACCCTAACACTACCCCATAGTCTCAACAACCAGGAATCTCTGTTTTTCAAAAGAGACCTGTCCTGCGCTTGGGTATTAAGTCAATTCTTTGTGTATGAAATGATGTACAAATCAATGTTTTGAAAATAATGATCTTAAACTTTCTAAGTTAAACAAAATTTTTTTTTGATTGTTTGCCATATTGGGTGGGTTTACTCTTAGAATCGCATGCTGTAGAAATGCTAAAAAGTGCATATTGGACTAAGTCCTTCGATGTTTTTTTCTTTAAAGAAATAACCTGTTTAAAAACTGTAACCATTGCCGCTGTATTCATTTATTGTTGCTACTCTGTGCATAAATCTATGAAGACTTCAAGTACAAAGCTATGCACGTTTTGGAGTAGCGTGAGAAGTCACTTCTTTTTTTCTTTTTCTTTTTCTTTTTCTTTTTCCTTTCTTTTTTTTTTTTTTTTTTAAAGAAACAGCCTGTTCAAACAATCGCTGTCAAAGATTCTGGGGGTGGGGGAACCCAGACCATCTTCTTTATAAATTAATTCTTCACAGCCAGTTCCTCTTGTAAAATGAGTTCTTTGCATCTGATTAGAATCATTTTTGTAATGCACAGGTTTTCCTGGCTTTCTTTTCAAATAAAATGTTAAAAGCAGCAGCGTTTGGACAGCAGATTGTTCTCTTAAATTCTCCTATCTTCACTGTATCCAGAAATGCGCCTCCCTAGCAGCAGTAGTGGCTTTCTCCATTCTGTTTTTTCTGCAACATTCTGTACAAAAATGTGCTGTAATTGTGCGTTAGGCCTGGATTTGGCATAAAAAAGATGAATTCCCTCTCTTTCATGAAACTACTCTGTAGAGCTTTCTCCGCACCCTGTATCCCTCTTCTTCACCTTTTTGTATTTAATTTTAAAGTCAGTGTACTTCAAGAAAGCTGGATGCAAGATAGATACTATATTAAAATGTACTGTTATTTAAGATGTAATAAAGCAGTTTGACATGAGTTTGGTCTGACTGATTTGTTCTCCAGTTTATTGCTTTGCCTAAAGAACAAAACTCCCTCACCTAACAGATCACGAGTGGTGAATTCAAACAAGCCCATCAGAAAAATTGGAGTCTGTGCTCTGGCCGCTTCTGATGGATCTTTTGGATTAAGTTCAGCATTTTCAAGTGGTTTGATTTATCCACCCTATTGCACACAGTACTAATTGGCAAACCAGGTATAAGCCGGTACACAAGATGCTTGGAAAAATGGCATGTCTGATTAAGTAGCATACACACTAATGGATTCTTCTTGAGTGTTGTAGAGTGACAAATGTGCAGAGCTGACTTAAACTGTTTCACAATCTTTGTGCCGTGTGGGTGCTAACAGAAACACTAGTGTTTGTACAGTTACCATTAGTGTCTGGCCACCACGTGGAATGTGAAATATGTGCTAACATAGGGTTTTCTAAGGACATAGTAAGTATCTGGAGCTCAGCAGCTGCAGACATATTTTTCTACATAGATAAATGTCTGTCTTAAATATTTAACAATTTGATTGTGAGAACCAGTCAAGAGCTTAATCAAAAAATGCTGGGAGCTGTCTATGCACAGATTCCCAAGTGAAGGTCACTATGGCACATGGATCACTTGGTATTCTTGTGTGGAAGATGCTACATTTATCTAAATATACAACTGCTGAGGTTGGAAACAGTCAAGAGTTTAATAACTTTTTAAAAATTGCTTCGTGTGTACCTTTCCTCAACTTCAGTAGAGTGCTCTATGAACTTACCCCAGCTGAGGATCTGGCCTACTAGATTTGTTTATTAGTTACACTGTTGAATTTCTGTATTTGGCATTAAGATGGGTAGGTAGGTATCAACATAAGGCTCAGCAGGAAAAAATAAAAAAAATCCTGGCTGAATTTCTATATATAAAATACATTTTGTACCTACCAAAGCTGTGGGAAACTTTTCCTTTCACATTTGTTTTTTTAAAAAAAAAAAAAAAAAAAAATCTGTATCCTGATGGATATTGGGTTTATTTAAAAAAACATTTTTTTTAAACAGTTGGTTTTGAATGATCAGTGCACAAAATGTAAGTCATAGTTATTTTTTTAAATGAAAAAAGGGTGTTTCTGCTCTTTTCTGACTCAGAAACAGCTGACTGGATTTTCCTCAAATCTTTCATCTGCTCCCACTCAGCCAAAACATTGCTTGGGCTGAGACCAAACAGTACATGTTTCAGCCCAAAATAAGTTTTGGGATTTTTTTGTTTTGTTTTTTGCTCTCTCTCTCCCCCCCCCCCCCCCCCCAAAGCTGCAAGTGTGGAAAAGATGATGGTTCTGTAATTATTGTTAAATTGTAGCTTTAGTGTGAGCTTCTATGCCTGTGAACATTACATAAGAAAGTAAGAATGGCCATAATGGATCAAACCAATGGTCCATCTAGCCCAGTAGCCTGTCTCCGACAGTGTCAAGTGCCAGATACTTCAGAGGGAATTAACAGAATAGGACAATTACTGTGTGATCCGCCCTGGTCATCCAGTCTCAGCTTCTGGCAGTCGGAGGTTTAGTCACATCCGAGAGCATGGTGGAGCTTTCCTCTATGAACTTCTCTCATTCTTTTTTTTTAACCCAGTTATACTTTTGGCCTTCACAACATCCCCTAGCAGCAAGTCCAGAGGTTGACTGTAAGTTGTGTGAAGAAGTACTTCCTTATGTTTAAAACAAACATAGAACACCTAGAGCACTTTAAAATGAGCTTATGGCCAGAAATGCTTTAAATTTAATTCCAAATATCTCTCTAGTTCCAAGTGATTCTGCAGCTACTTTCCATTTCCTTGATATATTTTCTTATTGCAGCAGATGTTTCAGTTGTGAGTTTGTCTATAATGGAACCAATTCAATCATTCTTCCTCACCATGTGCCCAAATGTACCTTACCATGCTCCTACCCATATGTTCACTTTTTGCTTCTAGCAGCTGCTGGGAACCCCTTTGCAGGCAAGGGGATATCTGCCAAGACTCACTGACTCCCAGTGTCAGGAGGTTAGTGAACACACAGTACCTTTTATCGGAAATCTCAACTTATTTTTAGATCCCTCTAAGATGTAACAAATATAACAGACAATCTTCCTTTCCAAACTTTTACTTGAAAAAATAGATGTATGCTTAAATAAGATTCATGTTTCATAGCATGGCCGTTTTCCTCCTATTTAGCAAATATATTTGTTCTGAATACTATAACTTGGGGGAAGGGGGGAGAATAATGTACAACTTGAAACTAATACTTAGCTCTTGTATAGCTTGTCCTCATCTCTGTAGTGGGCCAAACCCCTCACATTTGAACATCCTCGAAGTTGGACTAAGTTTGGATCTGGATTCAAACAGAGGTTGCATCTGTAACATCCCTTCCTCTTTCTTTATCCTACACTAATATTACAAAGAAGGCATGACACTGCAGCTGTTTTCTCTGGGCTCTAATCAAACCCTGTCCTAAAAATAGGGCCTTTACTTCATAACAAGCTCAGGCTGGTCTGCAGAAGTAGGGCTGTTCAAACCAGTTACCTGCAATAATGGCATAGGGAACAGAATACTAGAGGGAAAGTCAATGGTTTTGTTTGCCTAAATGCTGCTTCTCGCATTGTCTTCTCCATGCCCCATGCAAGTGCCTTTTTAAAGGATTTAACTCTACAAGAAAGCAACATCTCCTGAAATTGAGAGAAATAATTGAGAAGATATCCCTTTGCCAAGTAGTTTAGCTGTCCTAATGTCACGCTGAAATCTAAGCAGTGGAGCAGAATGTGGCATCCTAAGTTTTGTGCATAGTTAAACCACAGTCTAGATTCACTAAATATCAACAGTCAAACTGACGTAAAGTGCTGACAGTGTGCTTAGTGCTGTACAAGATAGAAACAGTATGGCCCTTGTCTCCAGGAGCTTGCACAGTGAATAACACAGAACCACTAAATTGCAAAACCCTGACTGAATTTTGAGTAACTGTTTGAAATGCAAATCTATGTATTGCATTATGATCTGTAAGGTTTACAGAAGGATTCCGTGCTGTTCTTAAGGTAGGTAACATCAGTAGTTTCCTGCATTTTTCTGGTTTGGGGCTGGGAGGAGATAGGATGGAAAAAAACAGTCCCTCCAAGTGACTGATAACTTCCATCTTACAGCACTTTGATTGTTTTCCTCCCCTCTGTTTCAGATGATTAATCACGTTCTAAACATTAGTCCAGCCTAATGGGCTGGGTGAAGTTGATTAGTTTGTAATAAGCCTCACATCACTGAAATAAGGTCCAGATGCCCCCCAACGACTGTTCTTTACTGCTCTGCACGGAGAAGAGTGAACAGTTCTCTAACCAAACAATAGTGCTTGTACAGAGCCTGTATAGAATATAGTGTGTTAAGGGTTTGAAGGTCTCCAGCTTAGTCTGTCTCTGTTCTTAGTCACCCATAAGGTAGCTGAAATGCTGGAGCACTACCTAATCACCTGAAGATCACGCTAACAGTAAAAACATTTAATTTATCTGTTAGTTAAATTTATTCTGTTCCAGTGAGCCTGGAGATTTTTTTAGAAGGTTCCAAAGGTACCATACTCCACTCCCCTCATGCATTCCTCTCCTAAATATCTCTGTAAAAGTACACAGAGCATCCCAAAATTGTTGATCTCTCTAGTTAAAACTATTTTAGCAGTAAATCAAAACGGACTCTGAGCAAGTATATTTCAATTGAATTAAAACAAACCCAAAGCCTTAATAATTCTGTTGTGTAATTTATTCTGATGTGATGAGGCATTGTTAGGCTTTACTGATGAAGGTAGGCCAGCTCCTCGGGAACAGATGTTCAGACAATCCACAATTCCCCTGGTGCCTGGTAGGAGGTGGGGTAGCATGTTGCTTTAGCAGGCTGCATGTGATTGGCAGATCCCTGGCATTCTGATATCAGACCATCAAAT